ATCCATCAAATATATTTGTGTGAAGTGATTGTGGATGACTTTTGGGCTTCTTTACATTTTCCGTGCATGTTCCTACTTGAGTATCCAGGAAACCCCATGCATGGTAGTAGACAGGCACCAGGAAGATTCTGTAAGTGTTTGTGTAAGTGTTTCTGTAAGTGTGAAGTCCAGCCTGTGGAATAGCTGCTTTTCTCCAATCTGGAGGAGAAGAAAAAGGAGGAGGAGGAGGAGGAGGAGGAGGAATAATAATAATAATAATCATCATCATCATCATTTTTGGTGCTCCCTTGGTTTTTTTGCAGACATTTCACGTAATATCAGTGGTAGTTAGTGCTAGTACTAGATGGGTTTTTTAAATGGTTATTTCCTTGGAAACATAAATTGCAAGTACCTCAGATTCTTATCTTAAACCAGAAATACTTTTTTATTGACAATTGTCTTCGATCAAAGAGTTAAATCAACCAGGAATAGCGAAACTGAATGTAGCATTTTTAATTCAGTGCTGAAAGTACATCTAACGGTAGAATCACCCTTTTGTGCAACTAGGGGTGCATTGAGGCAGCACACAGGAGCAGAGCAAGTTGTTATGTGGACCTTGGCACTTAGTTTTGCAACCGCTTGAGTGGAAAGCCAAAATTACATGGAAAAAAGGAATTTTGGAAGGGTGAGAGAGCAACAGGCATACTAATCGGCCTCTATTTCTCCATGGCTGGGTTTTAATAACTTACTAGGCTAAAGCCCATTTCTTGAGTTTGTGGCTCAGTGTCTTATTCAACCAGCTTATAATTCTTTGTGTTGTGCAAAGCAGCTGAATTACTTCATTAACTTTACTTCGGTTAACCACAAATGTGGGTGTTGGGTGAACAAAGCCATTGAAATTGAAATGGCGTTGCTGGTAAACAGGCCGAATCAAGCCCTCTCCAAGACTGTGGTTACTCAGATTTTAGATAGCTTCTTTCTTTCTTTCTTTCTTTCTTTCTTTCTTTCTTTCTTTCTTTCTTTCTTTCTTTCTTTCTTTCTTTTTCTCTTTCTTTCTTTCTTTCTTTTCTCTCTCTCTCTCTCTTTCTTTCTTTCTTTCTTTCTTTCTTTCTTTCTTTCTTTCTTTCTTTCTTTCCCCTTTCTCTCTCTCTCTCCTCAAACGTTGGAATGTATGCATTTTAACTCACCTTGAAATGGGTTATCTCCCTCCTTTATCATGTCTTTTGATAGCACCAAGCCTTGGACTCTATAGTTGTTTGCCTAGAGATTATCATTGGGAGTTCAAGGCAAAAAGTAAACAAGACATTTCTAAAAAGACAGGAAATTGGGAAATTGGGGTGGAGCAGAAGAGTAATACAAAAGATCAGAAGAGATGGTGGTCTAAGAAATAATTGAAGGTGTTGCTTACCGTTGAGGTAAAATCCGTAAAAATGTATACTTGCAAACAAACACACACACACATATATATACCAGCTAGGATTAGAGGATAATTATAGAGTCCAGAATAACAAATACAAAGGACTCTACTTTAAAGCTTTTCATGAGATGGCTCTCCACCAAGGAGGTGTGTAGAATTCACATTAAAAATGGGGAAAATGCCACAGATCCAATGTTGGTATATTCACTTTATTTGTGAACTGTAACTTGAAGAAGCCTCACCTTTTTTGGGGTCTTGCCTGGTGCTATCAATTACTTTTTCAAAGTTCAGCTGATGGGTACAGCATGCAAAGCAGACTTTAGATGCAAAGTAGATGATCTTCATACCTGTGAATGCCTCAAAGAGTTCTTGTCACGAGACTCACAGAAAAGCAGAATGCAAGACTTAGAAGATGAGCCTTGAGTAGAACTGGTAGTCAACTCTCTTAGAGAAGTCCTGAGTAGTCCACTTCTGAAGAAAGGAACTCACCAAAAAATCAGTTCTCAACATCCTCTTCCTGGATCAAGATGTGGTCACTAAGAGTACTCACTCCTGAACGAACCGGATTCTCCAGACTTATTCTCTGGGATTTTTGAGACATTTCTCTTGAGAAAAACAGATATATAAATTTGATAAATAAATAAATAAATAAATACATACATTTCTCTATATCTATGGAGAATAATTCAGGTCATGCTTGCCCCAAAGGTGCTTTTTTCCAAAAGGCAATTGGCCTTCCTTGTCTTTTTCTTCGAAAACATATCACTTCTCATCCAAAAAGAACCAAACAAGCTTCTTGGATGAGAAGTGAAAAGTTTTCAAAGAAAAAAAAACCCAATAAAGTCCAGTTTGGGACTTTCCTGGTGGCACTCAAGGCTACCAACCGTTACAGTCTTTTGAATTGGAAGTGCCAGTTCTGCACTATTGTGATTCTCCTCCAGCCTGGATGACAGATTCTAGAAAGGAATAAAAAGAGAGCATTGTGGTGGTGGTCAAGATTCAGGGGCCCAGCCCACTCTGAGCTTTTCAGCATATATATAGGGTGAATGGGGTGCAATTCTTCACCATCAACCAGCTTTGTCTGTCTTGAGGGGCACTGATGATCTTATGGACTGATTGATGTTTATCTCCTTCAGAAGGAGATTTGCATAGAAATCACAGGACATATTATCATAAAGAAGTTACGATGTGTTCAAAGGAACCTCTTAGAATTAGACCTTGGCCTAGAAACCTGTTCATATTTTAAATCTTACCACTGTTTTCCCTTTGCTTCTATCTCATTTTTATTACGTCCTGCTGTTCATTTTAGATTCATTATTTCTTGTGCCTGGGCAAGTATAAAAACACTGTTATGTACTCAAGTGACAATGAGTTTACACGTTTTTGGAAAGAATGGGAATGATGGAAAGCTGGAAAAAAAAAAAAAAACCCAAGGCCAGGACTTTAAGGGCTTTTATGCTTCTTAAAAGTTCTCTTTTACTTGCTGTGGAAAAAAAAATACTGCAGGCTTTCTGGGCCTTGCAGCCAATGCTGGTTTTCAGTTGTTGTGCACTGGAGAGTAAATTTCACACTGAAACTAGGACAGTTGTAGTTGGAATGACAATTAATGTGCGCTGAGCATAATCCCGGTTGGAAACTGGTTTTTGAATGGAATTAAACCCCTGGCTCTTTTTCTCTCCCGACCCCCTTTTCCTGGTTTGGCCCTAGATGTTGGCTCTGGACCGGGGTGGCTTCCGTTTTAATTAGCTTGCCAAGCCAAAGTTTGGCCATTGTGTCCTTTTGTTGAATGATCCAAAGGTTGTCCTTTTTTCCTAACGAAGCTTTTTCGGGGGGCTCCAGCATCCTGGGTTTTCATCTTGAGATGTTGGATGCCAGCTGTCTGTTTTAAGGGAAGATTTAATCTGAGGGGTGACAAAAGGGAGAACATTTATCTGCAGACTTGCTAACTGAAGGGGGGAAGAGTTGAGAGGAAGAAAGACCCTTTGCAAAGTGGCCCAGAGGAAGCAGCATGTTAATCACGTTTTGAGGACTGAAAAATTAAGGAGGGATGGTGGGCGCTAAATCTTGTCTCCAGCCATTGTGCCAGGCTCCCAGCGCTTGCTTTGGAAATGAACTTTTAAGAACAATAGCGCCTGTCTCTACTGACACCCTGGCCAGCCACACAAAAGTGTCCCCTTGGCTCTCCGTGGAACTGTCAACGTCTCTCTTCTGAGAGACACAACATGAGAGGGAAAACTTCCAACGGATGTTTTAAAGTTAAAATTTGTTATGGCCCGTTGCTTTCTATTTTAGTGGCACCTGCAAACATTTGGATTCTTCCACGCATTTGGTCCAGGTGCCTTAGATGTGAGGAAAAATGGCAGCAGACTTTCAGTCTTGCCCCAGACTTTTCCATGAGTATCTGCAATTGGTCCAGATACCTGGACACTTGGAAGGTAGGTAGGTCTCCCAACACATCCCTTCCCTTGTGACCGGCCATTCATTGCTTGGAAGAGGGACGTTTGAGGAGAACTTCAGAGAAGTTTCCATGTGGTATAAGACTTCTCAGAGACTAGGACTCTTGACAAAGCACCCATGAAATTATAAGCGTTCATCTCTGACGCTTGGCCAACCTATTAATAATATGAGGCTGTGCAGAGAACATACAAAATGCTTCAGGAGCCAAAACCGAAACTCCGGAAAGAGAATTGTGATTGTGTTGCTCTAGCTGAAGTCGGATCCAATCCCATTTGTTGTCTCATGTGTTACTATGGAACACATACTAGGAAAATATGCAGCTTTCTTAATTTTTCAGAGAAATATGGTAGGCTTGCAGGCAACCTGTAATCTCCTGGGAGAACAATTTATTATCGTCAACGCAGAGATTTTCAAATATGTTGAGTACTATTCTTCCACTGTTTCACTATCGCTGAAACAGGGGCAAGGATATAATAATAATAACAACAACAACAACTGCAGCTTCCTGCAATAACTCCAGCAATGTTACAAAAAACTGCACTACTCGGAACATCTTATATAGGATGCTGGTAGCAACCAGTGTCAACCATCAGCGCCAGCCAATTTGAATGTTCAGTTGACCGAGGTTCATGTCTAATGAATAAAAGATGATGATGATGAGGATGATGATAATAATAAAGTTGGAAGGGACCTTGGAACTCAGGCAGGAAATCCTATACCATTTCAAACAAATGCCTGTCCAGTCTCTTCTTCAAAACCTCCAGTGTTGGAGCATTCACTGCTTCTGGAGGCAGGTTGTTCCACTGGTTAATTGTTCTAACTGTGAGGAAGTTTATTCTTAGTTCTAGGTTGCTTCTCTCCTTGATGAGTTTCTCCATCTGTTGCTTCTTGTCCTGCCTTCTGGCGCTTGGGAGAATAGCTTGACTCCTTCTTCTTTGGGGCAGCCCCTGAGATATTGGAACCCTGCTATCATGTCTTGAAAAAACTTATTGTAAAAAGCAGGATCTTGTGTCCAGAGGTAGAATTTCAGGAAGCGATGAATGAAAAACAAACATGGTAGTACACAATCAGTGCTACTGTAGTCTGATTTAATGTATCCCAAAGGCTCAAGAACCTGATTATCTTTCTCAAAATATCTTTCTGGCAGATGATTTAAGAAGTGAAACGAGTTTCCTCAAAGAATTGGTGGTTGGAAGTGGCGATACAGTTGAACTTCAGTGCAATACTCTGGACTTGCCTGTCTCTCTCCTCTGGTATAAAGATGGCGTTGGGATTTCACCTACCAACCGGACTCATATTGGGCAAAAACTCTTGAGGATTATAAATGTGTCCTACAATGATTCAGGCCTGTACAGCTGTAAGAAGAGACATTCGATGGAAATGCTCAAGAACTTTACGGTCCGAGTTACAGGTGAGTCAGTACCAGTAAAGGAGAATATTTGTAACTCAAGGTTGAAATGAGGGGTTCCCGGTGCTCCATGAGCTGGGTGGTTGCCTTGCAGACATTTCATGACCCATCTAGGAAACATCATCAGTGTTAGAAGAGAGGTGGTGGAGGATTGTGGGGTCTTTGGTGCTCTCTGAGTTTGGTTGTTTTCTTGCAGACGTTTCATTACCTAAATTAGGTAACATCAATGATAGAAGGGAGTGTGATTTGTAGAGGAGGAGGAGGAGGAAGAGGAAGATGTAGAGGACTGTGGGGTCCTTGATGCTCTCTGAGCTTGGTTGTTTTCTTGCAGACGTTTCATGACCCAAACTAAGCAACATCATCACTAGCTAACATCATCAGTCCTGATGATGTTACCTAGTTTGGGTCATCAAATACCTGCAAGAAAACCACCCTGAAGTGAGTCAGTCAAGTCATTCTGATGTCTCCTCGCTTTTGTCATTGGACAGCCACAAATGTTTGAATCCCACCTGAGGTCAAAGTTTGCCTCCAGTGAGGGCTGTCTGGTGACTCTCAGAACGGTTCTTGATATCCGGAGCCAGGGGAGGAACATTGAATTGGGTCTTTGATGGTCTGTCAGTTGCACTTTGGGATTCACTCCGGTTCCAACTTGCTATTGAAATAACCTGTCTTTGACTGCCAGGGTGGTCTATATGAAAGGCCATTCAGTCCAGCTAGCTAATTAACATTTCCCATGTCCCGTGCTGGGCTGCCTCCAGCCTGGCCAGATTCAGGATTTTGCCGTCTAGATTTAGTAGAGGCGAGATATGCTAACATCTGAATACAGGATCCGTTATGGCTGTGCCAGCTGGGAATACGGAGCCTGTGACGCCTGTTCCATTGTGATGTCCTTTTTCTGTGGCTTCACACACAGATTTAATAGCCTCCTTAATGCTAAATTATCTTGGCACGTTTGGGCAGGAGAAAGGTTTCTTCTGATTGGCGGATTTGTCTGCAGAAACGCACAATCGGTATTTTTGCTTCACAGGGCGAAGTGTCTTTACAGGCTTCCGAGTCGTTAAATATTTACACTTGTTCAATCCCGGAATCGGAGTCCAGATTAACCCGTTTTCTTACCTCTTTGTGAGTTTTAATCCTTTTATTGTTTTACTTTGTGCTTCTTTCTGGTAAGTCCGTGTTTCTTTGGAGAGCTAGGAAATAAGGGTTATTTCCATTCCTTACGTTGGAGCTTGCACAAGTCTCTTGACCCGACTTCAAGACTCGTTTTCAAGAGTTTTACTCCAGCGAGGTGAGACGACTTGGGTCAAACTCTGCTTTGATCGAAAGGATTCGTACACAGGTTTCTTGCACGCTCTCAGCTAAAGTTGGTTCGTGCTTTGGCAGACAGTAGAGTGTACAATTTTTTGTTTTTGATTGAATGCGTTTTAGTAAGTAAAGGACCAAGACAAAGAAATGGGTAGGATTGGAACTGAATTACATTGATTTCATTTTTGTTGGCATTTATTGGTTAGATTTTTTTAACCCATAAATCCTCCAAGAATTCAAAATAGTAGCCCTGTCTCCTCCTAATTTCTGTCTGTGAGATAGGTTGAGAAATGACAGCCTCTTAAGGTCATCTAGTGCAGGGGTCTGCAACCTTGACAATTTTAAGACTTGTGGACTTCAGCTCCCAGAATTCCTCAGCCAGCTATGCTGGCTGAGGAATTCTGGGAGCTGAAGTCTACAAGTCTTAAAGTTGTCAAGGTTGCAGACCCCTGATCTAGTGGGCTCCAAGGCTGGGGGAGTAAATTGAGGTCTCCAGCCTGTTAATCCAACATACGATCCCTATGCCACGTTGATTAATGTAACTCTCCTTTGCATGTGACATTTCTCCCCTTCACCACATTAAAAAGCAGACTTCCCCTTCAGCACATTAAAAAGAGCGACTTTTGGAAAAGATGCCAGGAGCACACCCTGCACCTTTCATGTTATGCACCCTTGAGTTCTAAAAAAAGTTAAACTTAGGCTTATTGTTCATGCAGGTTGAGGAATGCACTTTGTAACATGGAGGAGGGCAAAAGGGATTCAGCGTAGTGGTCTGGACGTGTTATTAGAATCCTATTTTTATTCCTATTTTATTGCAGCCCAGCGCGGAATCATAAAAATGTCCCACCTGAGTACATACAAATGAACATTTGCTGAGATACCCTATATTTGTACACGCGCAGCAATGATTGCATTAACCTAATTTTAAAATTGTGGAGTCGATGCTATTTTAAGCATCCTTGTTGTTGTTTTTTTTATTATTATAAATTTTTACAATTTTACAGTAAAAACCCCTTTCCCAATCCCTCCCAACCCACCCCAAAACCCTTCCTCATTCTTCCCAGAGCTGAATACAGGGTTAACTAAAACTTAAAAGAAAAAACTTTTAAACTCAAATAAACCTCAAACAAATATAATTGCATTCAATAAACAAATTATTAAATACTTTAACTCCATTATATATAAAAAACAGAAAGAGAAAAAGAAGAAAATAAAAAAATAAAAACTATTCTACACTTCTAAATAATGTCTTAAATGTTAAATATAAATTATTCAAAAGCTAAATAATATTTTCTTATATCATACTTATATTGTATAAAATTTATCCATCTTTTCCACACCAAGAGATACTTCTCTTGCGATTGATCTTTCAAAAAAAGCCGAAATTTTTGCCATTTCAAATAAGTAAGAAACTTTAAGAAACCATTCCTGCAAAGTAGGCAAAAATTCCTTCTTCCAATATTGTCCTATTAACAACCTTGCCGCTGTAGTTAAGTTTAACATTAAAAAAAAAAAGCATCCTTGTTGTGTGTTTATCAGGAGAGGGCATTTTAATACATTGTTCTGGAGGTCATGTAAATAATTACATCAGATTTATTAATTTTATTAATCAGTTTTATTGATGAAATAGGGCATTTTATTGGTTTTCTATTGAAAAAGAGTACTGGTTTAGAAACCACAGATAATTTGTTTGTAACCCGATCTAAATAATTTGAATAGCAAAAGTTTTCTAAATCAATTTAAAATAGTGTTGTGGAATAAACGGGAAAAAAATTCACACTGTAAATTCATCCAGAGGCTAAATTCAGTGTCGCCAGATTTTTCTTTTCCCAAGAACTCAGAAGAAATCTGGATCCTTGGACTACTTTTTCATTCATTTGCACTAAAATGGAATAAAGTCAAACTTACCAGCCGAGAAAGAGTCCTAAGAATCTGCATACTAAGTGAAAACAAAGAGTAAAAAAAACAATATTTTTTAATATATATATATATATATATATAACTAAGAAAATCTTTCCTATTATTTAGTGACACCAGTCTGAATATAGAATAGGATAGGAAAGGATAGGATAGGGAATGGAATAGAAGAATAGGATAGGATAGGATAGGATACGATAGGATAGGATACGATAGGATAGAAAATAGAATGGAACAGAACAGAATAGAATAGAATAGTTTATTTGCTGAGTGTGGTTAAACACACAAGAATTATATATACAAATTATAAAATAACAAGACAGTATATGAACTTTAAAGGCAACAACAATAACTAATAACAACAACAACAAAAAGTCTGGATAGTGGATGTGGCAGTGCCTGGAGACAGCAGAATAGACGAGAAAGAACTGGAGAAGATAACAAAATACAAAGACCTACAAATAGAAATAGAAAGACTGTGGCAAGAGCAAGCAAGGGTAGTACCAATAGTCATAGGCGCCTTGGGTGCAATTCCAAAACAACTGGAGCACCACTTGAACACCATCATCGGCATTGACAAATTCACCATCAGTCAATTGCAAAAGGCGGCCTTACTAGGAACCGCTTCCATCCTGCGACGAGATCTGTAATACCATCAAACATCCACATCTGCCTATCCCAGATCCTGGGTAAGGACTCGATAGGTAGAAAAAATGCCAAATCCAGTCTGAACATCTGGCTGACTGTGCAATGATGATGATGATGATCATCATCATCATCATAATAATAATAACAACAATAACTTTATTGTCACTTTGAATGTACACCAATCGGCATACATCAAAATGAAATTTCGTTGCATATAGCTCTCAAAGGGTCACCACCTCTGATATACACTCCTTGTTCGTGGCCAGCTCAAGTTTCAGATAGTCTGAAAGCCTTGTAACTAAGCCTTGTAGTAAAAAAACCCCAAAAACCCTTTATGCATTCTTTTGTAGGTTTAAGATTATTTCCTGTCACATTCTCTTGTCTTCTTATCCTTTACAAAGTGGTGTAGAATCATGTCTGCTTGTAAAAGAGACTCTCTTGAATGTAAGATTTATGAATTGAAGTAGGCCAAAGTTAAGCCAACTTTGCACATCCCCTGCTCTTTATCTGCCTTAAACCGCACTCTGCAAGCAACTTGAAGGCTATTGAAAGAAGCAGTCTTCTGTTTATGAATGAAGACATGAGGCATAAAGAATGAACAGGCATATACACTCCAGTTCCTTATTTAGACAGACGATTGGACCCCACTTTCAATTTTCAGGCCAGGGGGAATTGGAACTGGAGCAACCAGTAGCTTAATATGTTTGGTAAACGATGCGAGACAAATCAGGAGCCAAAACCCATTGTTGCTGCCGAATGAAAAAGATTTATACAATCTGAAGAGAAACCAAAGTCAGGGTGGAAGCAGAAATATGTGTCTCTATTTATTTGTAACCCACCATTTTTTCAGAGCCCAAAGTCTCTTAAGCTGGCTGCCGTTTTTCAAAGTGTCGGCTGCTTAAATTAAACAAGGAGACGCAGCGTCAAGACGGACATCTAGCAGGTAACTCGTAGCCCTCAACAGCCTAAGGTCAAGACTACAGCCTCGACCTTGACTCGTTCCAAAGCCCAACTTGGTTGCTGCATGCAGGCAAACAACCATTGTGGACACATCTAGGATCTTCATTAGTGATCTGACACACATGGGCTGCAAAATGTCCGTCCCTTGCTTATTCAGAAAACCCAGATATCCTTCTGGGTTTGGCTGGATATATAAGACACCCATGTAGTAGCAGAGGTGAGGTTTAATTCTGTTCAGCCAGCCATCCTGTTCATTTTGAAAGGATGCAATTGGGATCATGCTGAAGCTGGTATCTCAGAATAAAAGAGTTGGAAGAGGTTTTTTAGTCCAACTGCCTGCTGCAGCAGGGGACCCATATACCATTTCAGGCAAATTTTCCTTTTTTAAACATTTAAAACCATCTTGTAAAAAATCAGGAGGCAGAAGGAAGCCCGATGCTTTGCCTTAAGCCCGAGTGCTGTCACCAAAGCGTAGCTGAGGAAGGCTGCCCGCCCTGGAGGAGCCCACAATTTGCAATTGGTATCAATAGCTTTACATTAGCATAATCTGCTTTTAATGAATTTCCTCGGCTTCCTGGATATGTCTGTATAAATTATTTTGGTTCCTAGAAAAGTCATAGCTGAAAAAGCAGCGTTGGGACTGTAAATAAAGGCTTTTTCCACATTTCACTGGAGAGAGACTGCATCAAAGCAGTGCTGGGGAGTGGAAACATACGACCATCACCCCCAAATCCTGTTTTATTGCTGCACCCTGTATCTCATGTAATGTGCAAAGGATTGTATGAAATTAATAGCTGATAGACGGTAGTTGTTCAGCGTGGAGTTTAGTAGCAGATACCCACCTGGTTTAATTTTCAGCTTAAAGCTCCTCCATCTGAGACTCTGGGGGGGGGGGAAATTTAAAAAAAGGGGGTGGGACACTTCTGTGGAGGGATAAATAGAAAACATTTTCCTCTGGCTGTACTCTATCTCAAAAGCCTCCTTGTCCACCCATTGGGAGTTTTTAATCTCCAGGAAAGAAAGAGAGGTGGAGAATAAATGGATAATGGGGCCATTTTCAGGGGATGGAGTCCAAAACATCATGAAGGTGGTCACCACTGCCCAACGGATGCCCCACCACTATTTCACAGCCCTGAAAAGGACCATCATCTACTTTTTGATGCCCTACACACCAGTGTTTCCCAACTGGGAGGGCTTCTACTCAGGTAGACTTTGGTTCCCAGAATTCCACACTTGGGGTGGCCAGGGCTGAGAATTCTGGGAGTTGAAGTCCAGCCAGCTACAACTTTCACTGGTTAGGAAACCTTGCCATATCCCAAGATAACCCGTTCATAAATTAATCCTGTCCAACCATGACAAGGAGGTTTTCCCTGGGGAATTATGGCCCTTTGGGTTGAAGGCATCTGCTTCTTTGGTCCTAACTGACGAGTTCACATCCATCAGCATAAACCTCAGCTGTCCCTCTTCTTTCCACCTTGCTCCATGCCAAAACCACATGGATTCCCTCTTTATCTGCCTGACTCCAGCCAAAGTAAACAAGAATGGGAAGATAAGCACCCCGGACAGAACAAAGGTCTTGAAGCTGAGTAGGACAACCCCAGGCTCTGAGACAGGAAAGACAGCAGGAAGGCCACCCATAATATGTACTCAGGTCCTGATTTAATCACTTTATCAGCTCCCTGTGGGAAGGGACCTTTGCTTAAACAGATTTCTCAATTTTCTTTTCTGAGAGAATGAGTGATGTCCCAAGTTCTACTGGATTTTGCTTTTCCAAATCTTTAGGGCAGCAGTATTAGAATAACAGAGTTGAAAGGAGCCTTGGAGATCTTCTAGTCGAACCCTCTGCTCAAGCAGGAGATCCAACACCATTTCAGAAAAATGGTTGTCCAGTCTCTTCTTAAAAACCTCCAGTGATGGAGGACCCACAACTTCCGGAGGCAACTTCCGTTCCACTGATTGATTGTTCTAATTGCCAGAGAAATTTCTCTTTAGCTCTAGGTTGCTTCTCTCTTTAATGATCTTCCACCTGCTGTTGGCTTAATTAAAATTCTTTTGTTTTACAGCAAGGACCACTGTAGCTATTCCAAAACATTTTGCAGCAAAATTGTAACGTAATTCAAAAGGAGCCTGGGAAGGCTTGCAGATAGAATCTTTCCTCCACAGAGTTAGTAAGCCTCTGGTGTAGGCAAACCAAACATTTACACTATATGAAAAAAAGGAGGAAACTCATAGGCCCATGCAAAAGCACAGAAAAATAAAAGTTGTCCTATCTAGGTTACCAAATCTCCTTTTTTGGTAGTATTTGGTCTCCAAAGCTGGGAGTTCCCCGGGACTTTAAGTACAGCTTCATGAAGCTTAAGCTCTTTCAGCTTCTAAATTACTGTTGCAAAGTGAAAAAAAACCTGCTTAATTAAAAAATGCTCCGTGGAAGCTTTTTTTACTTTATATAACATAATGGGACCGTGACTGTACACAGAGAGAAAAGAAATGCTATATAATATATTGCTGGCACGCCCTTCCTGGGAACGTTGGAGGTTGCTTAATAAATATTTCCAAAGCCTCTGTAAGCAGACACGTTCACATGTTCTCACTAGGCAGCTGCAGAAAAGAGTCTCAGGCCACCATACAGATGGAAATTGGTCCAGAGAGTTGGACTGGGACTCAGCAGCCTTGCGCTTCCTTTGACGGGTTTTTCTTCACAAAAACAATGTTTGTGCTGAACACAGACAAAGTGGGAGGGGGGGAAGGCCATTTGAAACAACTTTAGCTTATTCCAGACTTGGAAAGCCAAATCACTACAATATGCGAACCAAATGGAAACTATAAGCGAACAACTTACGAGTTAGAATGTTTTATCATTTTGATTTCATTTTATTGTACGTTGTTTAATTTCATTCCTTTGTAAGTTGGTTTTCTAAGCTGGGAGAGGCAGGTGGCTGGCTGTCATTGTGCAGTCAGCTTTCTGAGAAGTAGGTGAAGAGAGGATATGCAAGGGAATGAAAAAATAAAAATGAAATGGGTGGGGGAAAGAACGTGGTGGGCTGACTTGAACCCCAAATAGGAGCATTTCAGTCTAATATGGGTTCAAAAGCAAAGGTGCCCTCTAAGACTCAGCTAGGGAAGGCTGGAACATAAAGCATAAGAAGGGACCTTGGAGGTCTTCTAGTCTAACCCCTGCGCGCAGAAGACCCTGTGCTTTACGCATCAACTTCCGTTTTTGCCAACATTTTGTATCTTGGCCATATTTGGAGACTTGTGATGAGGCCAGGAATAAAAATAAAGCCTCACGGAGAAGATCTTTTTTTAAAATTGAGAAAATATTTGCCGAGGCCCCCCAGTTACGTGTTCTGAGGATTGCAAAAGTTTTGGCAAAGGTACGTTAAGAATTTTATTTCCAGAAACATTTCTCATCTGTTCTTTTTTCCGTTTCAAGAATCCCCATCATCGGGTGATGATGAAGATGAACGTGACGATGAAGAAGATGATGACTCTGAAGACGGAGGTAAAAGTCATGCGGAGAAGCAAAGCTTGATAGAGCCAGCATTGATAGAAGCTGGTGCTGAATCAGATCCACCCCAGAGAGCATTTTCCATTTACCTCAGTCAGGAGTTCCAGGGTGTGGAGAGAAAGACCGATGTGCTGACTTTCAGCCCCCTGGGAGAAAATATCTGCTCAGAAGAGACACCCAAAGAGAATTTAGACGGTCCTCTGTCCTTGAAGCTCCATCTCTCTTTGTGAAAGGGATGGATGGATGGATGGGAGGGAGGGAGGGAGGGAGGGAAGGAAGAAAGGGAGGGAGGGAGGGAGGGAGGGAGGAAGGAAGGAAGGAAGGAAGGAAGGAAGGAAGGAAGGAAGGAAGGAAGGAAGGAAGGAAGGAAGGAAAGATTGGCACAAAGGAGGAGATGAGTAGTAAGCAGCCGGTTATGAGTTAGTAAGGTCACTCTACTTTACAATAATCTTTCTGGGTCACTCAACGTGCGCTGTCTTCCAGTTTACAACACCCGAGTGTCAATCAAGTTGTGCATCTTCTTTTTAAAACACCAAACTTTACAATGACCTCCATTCCCCCAAAGTTTGTGGACGAGTATAAATTCCTTTTTTAAAACATTGCTAAGAATAAAATAATTTGCTTGCACTATTTAGAGATACTTCCCTTCTTTCTCCTTTCTGCGTTGCCGACTCTCTCCGTAAGGATGCTTGCTGGATTGGGAGTGGGAGCAAAGCCTGCTCCCCCCTACCCACCCACCCACCCATTGCAGGCCTGTGAGTAGATAATCTGCTGGAGTTTCAGCTTTGAGGAAGACGAGAGCTCCTTGGCTGCCCAGATAAACCTGGAGACCTGCCTGCTCGCTCTCTTTGAAGGTAGCAGTGGGAGAAGCCAGTAAGGGCCTGTGGTCCACAGATGCCGCCTCGGTTGGAGGAAGTAAACGGGAGGATGAAAGCTGTGGAGCTGGAGGGGAAAGAGAGTTCCTGAGCCAGGAAGCTGAACAGCCCAGTTAGCTTATTTCCTCTCTTCTCCTGCGTTTCTGCTTCTTAGTTATTCCCTTGACACCAGGATTGTGCCAGTGTTTCTCAGCCTTGGCAACTGTAAGGCATGTAGATTTCAAGTCCCAGAATTCCCCAACCAACTGGCTGGGGTATTCTGGGAGTCCACATGCCTTAAAGTTGGCCAGGTTAAGAAACACTGCATTAGGCATTGTTGTTGTTAGTTGCGAAGTCGTGTCCGACCCATCGCGACCCCATGGACAACGTTCCTCCAGGCCTTCTTGTTCTCTACCATCTTCTGGAGTCCATTGAAGCTCCCGCCTCCTGCTTCAGGGACTCCATCCAGCCACCTCCTTCTCTGTCGTCCCCTTCTTCTCTTGCCCTCCATCTTTCCCAGCATCAGGCTCTTCTCCAGGGAGTCCTTCCTTCTCATTAGGTGGCCAAAGGACTTGAGTGTCAACTTCAGGATCTGGCCTTCTAAAGAGCGGTCGGGGTTCATCTCCTCCAGGACTGACCGGTTGGATCGCCTTGCAATCCAGGGGACTCGCAGGAGTCTTCTCCAGCACCAGAGTTCAAAGGCCTCCATTCTTTGGCGCTCAGCCTTTCTTATGGTCCAACTTTCACAGCCATACATTGCAACTGGGAAAACCACGGCCTTGACTATACGTACTTTTGTTGGCAGGGTGATGCCTCTGCTTTTTAGTATGCTGTCTAGATTTGCCATAGCTTTCCTCCCCAGGAGCAAGCGTCTTTTAATTTCTTGGCTCCAATCCCCATCTGTGGTGTGGCATTAGGCATAGATCTCTTTTAAAAAAAAGTTTCATTTTTTAAATATTAGCAGAATGCTTGGGCAGCATGAGTCTGCAGAAAGGTTTATGGCTTAATGATAACTGTTTGCAAAACTGGGGGGGAAAGGCGCTGTCTGTTATTGCGCTCTCTCTTGCACATAAAAAAACAGATTAGTTCCCCGGTTCAACCCTCTGGCATCCCATTCAAGAGTGCAAGCATAACGTCTCAGAATAAAAGGCTTTCTAGGGAATGAGTTCAACAAGGGAGATGGGATGCTTTGCAAAATTCAGGCTCCTGTGAAATGACTTGGTTCAGCCAGACTGAATGATTGCCGTGTCACATATTACACACGGGTGCAGTTATTGCATGCATGGCTTGTAGCAACATGACCTAAAGCTTCGGCCTGCAGGTTGGTGTGGATTAGCCGAAACTGTGTGCCTAAGTCCAATGATGGGAGCATTGGCCAACCCCTTGTTGTGATCAAGGAAGTCATTGTCTGTGGAGACTTTCTGTCTTCCAGCTCAGGGTTGTCCCAAAGATGCTTTCTCAAGAGGCAATTGGACTTCCTTGTTTTTTGTTTGAAGACGCTTCGCTTCTCATCCAAGAGAAGCTTCTTCAGGTTCTGAGTGGATGGTGAGGAATGGAAGGATTTATGCTCCTTGCAGACAGCCAGTCCTTTGCCTTCTTTTGCAGGGTCTTTGAGGCCACCTGGAGGTTGACCTGCGTCCTGAGGGTCACCTGAGTGGTGCAAATGGGTGTGGAGGCTTCCTGAAACTGCTGAGAGGGCCGTGTTGTAGACTTGAGATAGAGGATGTCGTATCCTTCCCCCTCTGTTGAGAGAGGGCTGTTCAGTTTTGACCTAGAGGGCCTCTTTGACCCCTCTTTCAAACCAGCGGCCCTCTCTGTCCAAAATGTGGACTTTGCTGTCTTCCAAAGAGCGGCCTTTGTCTTTTAAAAGACATCCAGTCAGAGCTGAAGAAGCTTCTGGATGAGAAGCGAGACGTCTTCAAAGAAAAACAAGAAAGTCCAGTTGCCTCTTGAAAACAGCACCTTTGGGACAAGAAAGTCATTTTTGTTCTATTGGTGCTTGTTACGTTGGCTGACTGGTCATTAGTAAACTTGCACTCCTAGAAATAAATACTTTTCCTTTTCTTGGTTTTTTCTCCTCAGTTTCCATACTTTTTATTTTTATTTTTGGGAGGTCTGTATGTGGACAAGCTTGGAAGTTTGGAAACACTTGGGAACTGTTTGGGGAGAGAGACGGATAAAAATGGCAAGAGGAGGCTCTTGGGACAAACAACTCACTCCCCTCCCTGAAACCCTGTCATTTGATAAACCAGGTTTGACAATCTGATTGTGAGATGCTGGGAGCCATAGCCAAACTCTGCATGGCCCACCCTTGTTTTGGAACCAGGTTTTGGAAGGAAATTGCTTTCCTACCTTCCTGGGGCATTTTCTAGATCATCTATGACAGACATGTGGCCCACGAAGTGGTTTCATGTGGCCCGCGAAGCCATCCTGGAAACAGTGAGGGAACGGCCCCTGCTGCCTTGGCCCTGGCCCAGGCCAGCCAGGAGCCAATGTACAATTTTGTGGTGGCCATCTATGCTGAAACGCATTCAGTCTTAGCTCCACAAGACCCGCCCCCTGCATGGCTTGAGAGGAACAGTGAGGCTCCTCCATTGGACCATGCCTTGGCACTTGCCCCAGTCCCACCCCCTTCTGCCAGAGACCCTCAGATCTGTCCCACTCCCCACAGGCACCCTTGATGTGAACGATGTAGAGCTGGCCACACCCACTCCATTCATACCCACCCAGTAGGCTGCACCCACCCTGGCCATACCCACCCGGCCCCCTGAGGGCAACTGCAATGCTGATGTGGCCCTCAATGAAATTGAGTTTGACACCCCTGCTCTAGATCATCTATGAAATGCTCTCGCTGAGTGTTTTTCTTATTTCAGTCATCTTCTCTCTGTGTGTTCTTCTTAACTTTTTGCTGAACATCTACAGATGTTCTGGGTGCTTAGGCTTGTCTTTCCTGTAGGCTTCAAGCCAGAAGATTCACTTCAGAAAGCTGTAGGTTGCGTGGTCTTCAGCCGCAGATGGCATTTTGTGTTGTTTTTGCGATTGGGCAGGAGACAGACTGTCCAGATGTGTCCGTGTTGTCAGCATTTTGTCCAGCCGGCAAAGCTAATCTTCGCGGCTTTGTGCTCATTGTGGGGATGTACTCTGGCGCTTGCTGACCATTCTCTGAAGCCACCATCCCATGAAATTGCTTTGGGTCTGTGCTCTGAGTTGAGTCCTAATTGGCAAATCCCACCGCAAGGTCTCTTGCCGGCGATTATAGCTGCCCCAAACGTTTTCTTTGTTGGGACTGCCAACTCAGCAGATTCGCTGCCCCCTCCGGCCGATGGCTCCACCCCATGACCTTCTGGCCTCAGGAGGGTCACACTTCCTGTCCATCATCTGAGATTCAGTTTTGATCCCCAAGGGATAAAGAAAGGAAGGCTTCCATCTGCTTATTTCCTTCTGTTGGCTCGTGGGGTTCACTCAGGAACACGATGACAGTTTGATCATAGTATCTTCTTTTCACTTGAATTTTATTCTATGATAGCTATGATAAATGTCTGCCGAAGTTCTCAAGTCATCCAGGTCGTGGTGGTCCCAAAGGTGCTGTTTTCAAGAGGCCACTGGACTTCCTTGTTTTTCTTTGAAGACGTTTCGCTTCTCATCCAAGAAGCTTCTTCAGCTCTGACTGGATGGTGGGGAGGGGAAGGATTTCAAAAGAGTACTGATGACCTGATGGCTTCAAGGGATATAAATCATCCAAGAGAGCTGAAGAAGCTTCTTGGATGAGAAGCGAAACGTCTTCAAAGAAAAACAAGAAAGTCCAGTGGCCTCCAGCACCTTTGGGATAGCTAGGATGGCAAAAAAAGCCATCATGCCCATAGGGTGCATTGCCTGTACTTTGGGGACATTCATTCGTAGACAAAGATGGAGAGAAACCTCTTGTTGTAAAGAATCTTCCCTTCCAAGTTCTGGACTGAAAGAGGACAACGTATTGTCACGCTGAGCTCAGGGTCAGCAGATCTGGCCCAAAGCTGATGTTTTGCTTGTTTCTGTAAATCTACAGATCTCCCTTTTGATAGAGACAGCTTCTTAAATGCACGATTGACAATACTTTAGACAGAATATAAAAATTGTGAGATGCAGTGGAAATGGGGAATGTCTCCCTTTAGCCACGATAGTTTGTACTTCCACCATTTTTCATGGCTGTGCTGTAGAATTCAGTGCATTTGTTCCTTTCAGTGTGAGGGAGGCTTTGTAGATGTTGCCCATTAGTTGGTAATGATGTTGAAATCAGAAGACTTTTACTAGACCAGGGGTAGGGCACCTTGTCTCTTTTATGACTCGTGGACTTCAACTCCCAGAATTCCTGAGCCAGCCATGCTGAGGGGAAAGGGAGAGGTTTCCATGCTGAGCCATGCTGGCTCAGGAATTCTGGGAGTTGAAGTCCACGAGTCATGACGGGGCCATAGTTCCCCCATGGTGGCTCAGGAATTCTGGGAGTTGAAGTCTACGAATCATAAAGTGGCCTAGGCTTAGGCCAGGGGTAGGCAATCTTAGCTCTTTTATGACTCGTGGACTTTAACTCCCAGAATTCCTGAGCCAGCGTGGCTCAGCTTGGAAACCTCTCCCTTTCCCCTCAGCACGGTTGGCTCAGGAATTCTGGGAGTTGAAGTCCACGAGTCACAAAAGAGCCAAGGTTGCCTAGCCCTGGGCTAGAATGAGGGCAAGAACAGGATCAACTACTGTGTTTCAGGTCACAGTTTGTTTTCTGTGATTTTGGCTTTTCAGCCATCTCAGAGGTGCTTTTCTAAAAGGCAACTGGACTTCTTTGGTTTTTTCCTTTGAAAAAGTTTGTCTTCAGTCAGAACTGAAGAGAGAGATAGAAGGTCCCCGAAGATGGGCTCCAGTCCAAAAGCTTGGAAGACAAAATCTTTGGACTCGGTGACCGACCCAGATTGGATCCGCAGAACTGAAGAAGCTTCTTGGATGAGAAGCAAAATATTTTCAAAGAGGAAATCAAGGAAGTCCAGTTGCTTTTTGGAAAAGCACCTTTGGGACAACCGTGACCTGGACGATGGAGAATCTCCACAGACATTTGGCTTTTCAAGTGGCCTGTGGTGCATTCTCTAAAGCTGCCCTTCTCATCTTCATCCTAGGCTTAATTGCGCCCCTGGAGAAGTCATTTTACCCAAGGATGAGTAACATGTGGTCCTCCAAAACCACATCATCCTTTTGATTTTGCTGCTAAGGCCTAGAGGTCCCCAACCTTTTGGGCACCAGGGACTGGTTCCGTGGAGAGAGGGTTTTCCGCGGACCGGAGGGGGCCTGGTTTCATGTACTGCCTGCATCTCATGGATGGGGCTTTGCTTGTTTGTGCGGATCGGTTGCTGGTGTGCTGCAGCCCGGTATTGGTCCACAGACTGGGGGCTGGGGACCCTTGTGCTAAGGACTGCTGAGAGCTGCTGTTCAGTTCAAGTTAGAAGGCCATCCCTGATAGGAAGCTGGTAGAGATAAGTCCCACTAACTCAGTAGCTGAAGACCCACCGTCTTTCTCAGCTGACGTCTCTCATTCTGCTTTGTATTTGCAGCGGCGCCTTATTGGACCCATCCTATCAGAATGGAAAAGAAGCTTTTGGCAGTGCCAGCTGCCAATACTGTCCGTTTCCGGTGCCCGTCAGCTGGCAAGCCACTTCCTTCCATATCCTGGCTGAAAAATGGCAAAGAATTCAAGGGGGAGCACCGTATTGGAGGCATTAAAGTAGGTCCTCATTCGTGGGTGGCCTTTGGTGACCACCCCTCTTGCTTGCTCATCGCCAGAGCTGGCCTTGGTTTTTCTCTGATGGAACTCTTAGGATAAATAAGTGTAACCCGCCCCCTATTTGCATATTGAAACTCAGTAGGCTGATGAGTTGCTTTGAGGCTATTCTTGAAATGCACCAGATGCTTTAGAAACTTGTAAATTGGACCCAGAGGTTACACCAGCAATAAATGTAGAATGTTGATGTAGAAAGAAGGTGATCTATTTAATGAGCCTATATGTGGGTGGATGGATGAAGAGAGAGAAAGGGAGAGAGGGAGAGAGGGAGGGAGAGAGAAAGAGGAAGAAAGAGAGAGAGAGAAACAGAGACAGAGTGACAGAGAGAGAGAGACAGAGAGAAAGAGACTGGACAAATATTGATCTGAAATGGCATAGGGTTTCCTGCTTGAGCAGGGGGTTGGACTAGAAGACCTCAAAGGTCCCTTCCGACTCTGTTATTCTGGATAGATAGATAGATAGATAGATAGATAGATAGATAGATAGATAGATAGATAGATAGACAGACAGACAGACAGACAGACAGACAGACAGACATTGATTCTTTATATAGTATATGTTAATGTGAACTTCCTTAAATGTAAGAATTGGGTTTTCCAACACAAATCCAACTTCTAACATAAATCCAAGTATGGCAGTTGGTTTCATAATTTTCATCCATTTGGGTTGTATTATTCAAGAAAACACACAAGCGTTATTATGGATATTATGGAAAGTTATTGTGAATGTGCCAAGATGCTGTGGGCGTTCATTAGAATGTCTGCACAATTAATATCTTAATGCTGCAAAGGAGGGAACAGTCTAGATCAGGGTTTCCCAACATTGGCGACTTTAGAACATAGAACCGTAGGGCTGGAAGGGACAGGAGTCCTTTTACCCTCCTGGTCAATTGGTTGTCCAGTCTTATTTTTGAAAGCCTCCCGTGATGAAGCACCCACAACTCTGGGAGGCAAGCTATTCCACTGGCTGATGGTTCTCACTGTCAGGAAATGTCTCCTTACTTCTAAAGTTGGATCTCCCTTCAGCGATCTTCCACCCATTACTGTGGACTTCTGCTCTCAGAATCGTCTTGTTGGGTTCTCATTCTGAAATTGGGGAAGGACATCTAGTCCTAGCCCTGTTTGTGAAGTACGTAGGAGAGAGAGGCCCACCACATTTCAATTCTAGGAAAAGGATGTTCTCGCTAAGCCATTTTCTGAAGGACCAAGGTGAGTTCCTGCTGATCTCTCCTTTCCTTTGGCAGCTGCGGCATCAGCAGTGGAGTCTGGTCATGGAGAGCGTTGTTCCGTCAGACCGAGGCAACTACACCTGTGTGGTCCGGAACAAATACGGTGAAATTCGGCATACTTACCAACTTGACGTTCTTGGTAAGTGTTGTTTTAAACTTGGTCTCCAAGAACCACGTGCCCCTTGGCACTCGCAGAAGGGACAGCTGTTCCCCATCTGTCCCAGACTACATCCTCTTGACGAAAGAAGGAATTCCTCTGGGTTGCTCCACTTCTGGAGCTGGAAAAACCGTTGGAAAGTAGATTTGCTGAATGCAAATAATATGCTAATTTCTCTGCACCCTCGAATTTCAGATTTTCCTGGTGGCCAGTAATAAAAAAGGACTAAACCATATCTCTATCTCAGAGGAAAAATAACCTCAAAATTAATGCATATATAATTTTTAAAACTGTACGTAGAGGTAGTGCCCAGTTAGTGTACTGTTGTTCTGCAAACACCTTCTTTAAATTATTACTTCTATATAAAGAAGTGGGGTTTTTTTTTAAAATTGCCTGGATAAAGAAAACTGGATGGGAAATATCTGTCCCATAAAAACTTTCTCAATATCTTAATGATTTTCCTTAAATATCAATGAGGAATTAACATAGGGCTTACTCTGACTATATCAATGCAGATTCTATCTCCATTTTAACTATTTTTATTAGTCCGTATAAGCCAGGGGTAGTCAACCTTGGATCTTTTATGATTCGTGGACTTCAACTCCCAGAATTCCTGAGCCAGCTGTGCTGAGTCAGGAATTCTGGGAGTTGAAGTCCACGAGTCATAAAAGAGCCAAGGTTGACTACCCCTGGTATAAGCTGTTCATATCAATATAAATTTTATATTGTTTAGAGTGTTAAAGATACAAATAATACCAGGGACATATTCCAAGTATTTAAGAAGATTCATAATTTTTTTTTAAATGTTGATTTCTTAAAAGTTTCCTCAGATACTCTAGATCTGGAAGCATATTAAGATATACCACAATTTATTCAATTGATCGTTTATTGAGGGGCAAAGCAATACCCACAAATGTAGGGAAAGTCTGCATAGAATAGCCTTTTATTTTCCACTATATCCTAAATTTTCTTTGACCGTGAATTAAAACACTTCCAAGACCCAATTCAATATGAGAAGAACATCCTTGTTGAATTGTATGAGATATCAAGATGGATGAAGATATAATAACAATAACAATGTTGGAAGGGACCTTGGAAGTCATCTAGTCCAACCCCCTGCTCAGGCAGGAAACCCTATGAATCCAATGGTAGTCATTCCAGCCAATGAATTCAGAGACTGCATTTTAATCCAACTGATAAAAACCTCACGCTGGATCGCAGCGTATGCAGCCGCACAGAGAGATCCCTCTCTTCACCGGCTGCTTTCCCTCTGCCGGTAGACTCTTAATCGGGTCGAAAAGTCACCCTGAAGGGGCGATTACCGTTGAGGAGCTCCTCATTGACTGTGGAAGGGTGGCAGCTCCTTCCGCGGTCCGAGATTGCTCCTTAGGGCCGACGGAGAAAAGATCAGCCTGTAAAATGGCCGATCACTTTGCTGCAGTAACCGAAAGTCAGAAGAACATCTAAGTGTAAAGAACGACCATGGTTGATCCGGGTGAGACTTCCCCTCCCCTCTCTTAGCCCTTTTTTCTTTTTTGTTTCCTGTACAAAGCATTTTTGGAATTATTTCCCTTCTTTGAGAGAGCGGCGTTTGTCAGTGTGGGAAGAGAAGCTTTGAAAATGGAATGAAAATTAATTTTAATTGACTATTTTTTATTTCTATTTACTTTGGGATCTTGAAATTTTTTTTATTATTGAATCTTATTACTGGATTTAGTTTACATGTGAAGAATATTATTTTTCCCTGGTCATTTTTGGTGTCTGGGAAGAGATTTTATAGTCTACTGAGGACACCTTGTGGAGAAATTTAAAATTGCAACTGTTTCTTTTTTCTGTTTGGTGTTGAGGTTGGTTTTGACCTTCAGATCATCTTAAAAGGAAAAAGACAAAGAAATTCAACAGCTGTTAAATCCATGGAGGTGGGCAATGCTTAAATGTTATTAAACATAGCCTCTACTAAAAGATAACAGGAAGTTGTGAATAGGGAGAAACCCTATTCACAACTCAACTATAAACTTATATTGGAAAAAAATCTATGAAGCCACTGAGCAAATATGTGTTCAAATAAAAGAGATTACTACAGAAATAAAAAACAGAAACTCTCCTTTGAACTTACAAACCAACCTGCAGACTTCATTTGACTATTCTACAGATCAAAAAACAACAGAAGAGGAATTAATCAATACTAAAGAAGATTCTATGTCATTCTATATACAACCTATTAAGACTTCTGATGACCAAAAAATGACTTTAACTAAACCATATACACTTGCAAAAGTAACAGAAATGGATGTGCAAATACAACTGATTGAGAACTATGACAATTTTGATAACCAGCTACTAACTACAAAATTGGACATAATTGAGTGTCTTACTCAGCAGAATCAAATGTTGAGACCTGAACTTTTAAAACAACAAGGGATTATCTACAAAGGAGCCAGGTGTCTAAAACAGAGGAGGGGACGTTTTTTCTTGACTCAAAAGATATCACAAGGAATAAAGAGAGATTTATTTGTTGATATAGAGGCTCTGTTATGGAAACCTGCTTGTCACAAAAAGAAAGCTAGAATAAAAGACTGTGATCTAAAACTGTATGCAATGGGTTAAAAAGGCTTTTTAGTCACGGATTAATTCAAGTTTCAAGATTTGTGTTGTGGATATAACAACTATTTGGATTGGACTTAAATTTTATTGAGTGGGTTAAAAGAGTTTTACATAAATATTGATTGATAGATTATAGATTTAAAATAGATTAGAAATGTATTTTTTGGAGTAATATTCTTGTTTTTAGGAAGGATAGCTATTTTGTAATGGAAGGAGAATAAGAGGGATTTACGATAAAAGAAGAAATGATATTAATAAATGAATTACCAGATTAAAAAATAGAATACTTGTAGAAAATACAAGATCTTTATGGTTGAAATAATATGTATATTTTAGAGCTAAGGATTATGTTAAGGAAAAGGGGAAAGGTTTATCTAAACCAAATTGGAATATGGTAATTGTAAATAGTAAAGCTTAAAACAGGATTTGGACTTACACGGATGAAATATTATTGTTGTTTTGATTAATTGAATTTTTATTGAAAAAATATATTCATTTGAATATATTAGACTATTTGAGGAAAATAGAGACGGAGCTTTTAATGATCTAATCTGAGTTATATATGTATGGATAACTGACTACCCTGTCACCACATTGTTTCTCAAGTACCTTGTTGTAAAAATAAAAAATCAATAAATCTTGTTTTTTTAAAAAAAGAAAATTGGTATCTCACCAAACGTGTTTCAAAAGTTACATCCAAGTTGCTTCAGGGAGTTGACTACATCCATTTTATTCTACTTCTAATAATCTGTGATGGTAGCTGATGATAGTAAAGCTTGTTGCCCATTTAGGAAGCCAGACTGAGCAAGGCAACCCTGTATTTTGTGGTTTTTCATGCCATTTTTAATCCACCTTTTCATTTCCATGTTTAATAAAGGAATTGAGCAATGGCTTATGCATGCAAATGTTATATTGCACCTGGGTATTATGGTCACCTAGGCTCTTGTGAAAGTTAGCAGCATTGTGGTGTGCTAACAAGGACCTTTTATTGGACAAATGTTGTGTAGAGGGGTTTATTCATTGCCCATAATAAGTAAGCATCCTTTCTATTCTGCAGAGAGATCTCCCCACCGCCCTATTCTCCAGGCAGGATTGCCTGCCAATCAAACAGTGGTGATTGGGAGCAATGTGGAATTCCACTGCAAAGTGTACAGCGATGCTCAGCCTCACATCCAGTGGTTGAAACATGTGGAAGTCAACGGAAGCAAATACGGGCCAGATGGGGCTCCTTACGTCTCTGTCCTAAAGGTTGGTATACTGCTACGTGAGTCTTTTAGGTCTTGAACCTACTAGAATGAGCAGTTACTTACAGGAAGTCACTCATAACCACCACTATCAGATTAACCTTGAGATCTGCTGAAAATCTTGTTGGAAGAGCCAGGGTTTAATCTTGCAGAGGAACTGACCATATAATTGACCACGTCGGGGGGGGGGGAATAGAACCACAAATTGGGAAAGCTTTGATGTCCATGGAGATTCTCCATCATCCAGGTCATGGTTGTCCCAAAGGTGCTTTTCCAAAAGGCAACTGGACTTTCTTGGGTTTTTCCTTGAAAATGGAAAGAACTGAAGAAGCTTCTTGGATGAAAAGGGGAAAGTTTTCAAGGAAAAAAACAAGAAAGTCCAGTTGACTTTTGGAAAAGCACCTTGGGAAAGGCTTGATGTAAATCTGAGCTCTTATCACAAAACTATTTAGCATGCTTAGGACACTACCGGTTGCCAGGCTTTACAATAGGGAAGATAATAACTCTGGATCACCACCTAGAATTAATGTAAGGATTATTTGCATAGGTGGGGGCAGCTGTTTCCCAGCACCTTAGCCTTCCCCAAAGGGTCTTCACCTTTCAAGATCAAATTTCACACAAGCAGCAAGACAAGATTGTTCTCCAAAAACACCTGATGTAGTTCCTTAGCAAAGTCATAGGATGCCTTGCTGACCTCCATAACTGTTCTGCAAACGATAGGTTCTCTGAATATAGACATTATAGATATTGGAGAATACAAAATCACCTTTATCTTCAAAAAAAAGGAGGAAAGGAAGATTCATAGACCATTGAATATAGATTGATTGGTATCACTATTTGGGAAGCTCCTGAACAGATCATAAAGTCATTGGTTCTGAGGGCACCTTTGAATTCCATCCTTACTCATTATCAAGAATAACTCTCACAAGACTAAGTGTAGCTCATTCTTTCATCCACTAACGGCTTTACTAGATCATGGGAATGCAGTCGTTGCCTCTTGATTACAGCCTAAGACTTGACCAGTGACACTCTTAATTAGCAAATTAGATTAAAATCAGAATGATGGGACAATTCAGTGGAAACCCAGCTGTGTTGACTCCATGCTCAAAGAACCTCACTGGTTACTTCTTCATCAAACCAGAATCAAATATCTGGGAGGGTTACTACCAGGCTTGTTCCTGGAGCTGGTGTTTTGATGGTAACCGTCCTAGAGAAAGAAGTGAAGAAAATGCTTGCCAAATTTGTGCTCTTGAGGAAAGAATTAAAATTGAAAGAGTTATTGCAATAGGATAGGGCAGGGATCTGCAACCTTGAAAACTTTAAGACTCGTGGATTTCATCTCCCAGAATTCCTCAGCCAGCTAGAAAATAATAATATAATAATCAAATAGAGAGGTCTTCTTTTTAGGAAACTAGGTATAGGATAAGGGGGTACCTTTTTTGCAGCCATATCCTAACACCACTTGGTCGTAGTGTTTGTAAGAATCATTTTCAGTCATTGCAAACTGAACGTGTCCAGGTACAAGTACAGATTACACTCAATTTATGACTACAACCAGGCCAGAATTGTGGTTGTGAAGAGAGTTGCATCCGGTTTCATGACCTTTTTAGCCACGGTTGCTAAGCAAATCATTGCAGTTGTTAAGTGAATCACATGGTCATTAAATGAATCCGGCTTCCCCCCTCCCCCATTAATTTTGCTTGCTGGAAGCTGGCTGGAAAAGTCACAAACGGCTGGTCATGTGACCCCAGGATGCTGCAACCGTCATAAGTATGTGCTGGTCGCCAAGCGTCGGAATTTTGATCACGTGACCCCCGGGAATGCTACGTTGGTCATAAGCGCAAGGACAGGTTGTAAGTCCCTTTTTTCAGTGCCAATATCACTTCAAACTAATGGTTTTAAGTCTGGGATTACCTCCCTATGATAGGGCAGCAAAAAAGGGAAATGCGATCCTCAGGCGTACAATAGAAGTATTTTTTTAAAAAAATTATTCTGTGCAGGCCAGACCTCTCTTGAAGCTCTGGGTCTAGTTCTGTTCACCCCACCTCACGAGGGATTAAAGCAGACTAGGACAAGTTTAGAGAAAGACTTTTCTTTGTAGTTTATATATTAAATATGATTTTAAAAGAAGAAAGACGGTGAGGGTAAGAAAAGGTTAGAAATGGGTGGTTGTGGAAGGAGATTGAAGAGTTGCGTTGGCCTGTTTCACCTTGGAAAGGGAAGGCATGGGGGGCTAGGGTAACCCTCTTCAGATATCTATATAGGATCCTTCAGAGGAGAAAGTCATGTGAGAGTGCAGAATTTGAAGAAAAAAAATTGGATTCAAGGGATTAAGAAGCAGATCCCAGTTAGGGGAATGTTTTCAGGAGCAAAAAGACTTGGGTTGTGAGACTCATGGATTGGACAGCTCGTGGGCCTTTCCTCCTGGACATGTCCAAGGAGACTTGCCCACCACCTCCCTCTCAAGGGCTTCAGGGTGGACTCCTGCACGAAGAAGAAGCCATCCTAAAACCAGGCACCTGCTATCGTCTTTGGTGGACGTGCCCTAAAGCCAAAAGATTTTGGCCTAGAATGCATATATGGTTAGAGAAAATGACTAAAAAACACATCGATTTTAAGCCAGAATTATTTTTGTTAGTTATAATTGTAGGAAATTATGAGAAGGAATGTGTATACTTAATGTTACATGTGTTAACTGCAACGAGAATTGTATTTGTTCAACATTGGAAAGATGAAGAGTTAACGGCGGAGGACGAGACAATTAAGAAAAGTTTAGATTGTGCAGAAATTGACAGATGAAAGAGAAAGAAGACTCAGAATATTATACAACATGGGATACATTTTATCAATGGCTAGGAAAACGAGATAGAGAAAGGAGTTTAACATGTACAGTATTAGTAAGCTAAATATTAGAACCCAGACAATATGTTGCTGATAAAATATTAAGCAACTATAAAAAATTAATAAAATATTGGAAAAAAAGAAGCCATCCTCTTCCATCATGGAGTTCCACCAAAAAGTAACACACACACACACACACACACACACACTGAGTAAGAGCTAGTCAGCCCTGTCTGTCTAACGTGTGATGGAGAGAGATTGTTGGGTTACTGAAGTTCAAGTTTTTGTCTATTCTGCAGTCCTGGATCAGTAAAAACGCTGAAGCCGATGCTAAGCTAAATCTATTCAATGTGACCAAACGAGATGAAGGCGAATATCTTTGTAGAGCCAACAATTTCGTAGGCAGAGCCGAAAAATCATTTTGGCTCCACATTCACAAACCAGAACCAGGTAATTCCTCAACTCTGTCCCAAAGGCTTTGCAGCTGCACGAACGAGCCGAAACAGCTTAAAACTGCTAGGCGTTCCCCTTCATATTCATCTTGGGTTCCTTTCTTTTTCCCCTTCCTTCTCTCCTCTGCCCTGACGCTGTGCGTCTTCGAGATGATGACTTTGACTTTTCCTCCCCTGACTTTTAGAATAACAAAATGCTTTTATGAATCATTCGCTCAGAAAAATTCCCACATTAAATGACTGTCTTTGAAACTCCTCTTCCTCCCCCGTTGTGTTATTAACTGGCTCTTTGTGTGATCAAGTTGTCCGTCTCCTCTTTTCACGATTCATCAAGCTCACTTTGGAAGCGCCGTTGTCAGGCGTTCCCGCTGAAATCCTTCGCCACGGAAGCCACACATTTTGAAGCCCTTCCTGGTTTTCAGTGTCTTCCCAAAACAAAAACCAAAAAAAAAAAAAAAAAACCAAACCCACAGGCACAAAAAAATGGGTCAGAAAACGTACTGAAGCCTTCCTAACAGATTTAAGAGAAGTTAAGGTTTTTCTGGATGGGGAAAAAAAACAAACCCAAAACCAATCTCTGGATGAATTCTGCAAATTAAAGCATTAAAAGCTTTTCTCTTTAAAGCCACATTTAACTCTGCCCACTTGTCTTGATCCTTCTTGCTTGTCTCTGGCGCCTTCTCTTCCCCTTCTTCTTCTCTCCGTCCCCCTCCTGGCCCACCTAACCTGGAGACAGTCACGTTGTGAAGGGAATTTTTCGTTCGGACGCTTTGGCCTGCATGCACACTTAGTGGGACAGAGTCAGAGGCTGGTGAAGGGAACTGATTGCTTTGGAAACAACCCCCCGTCCCCCCACCCCGGTTGTGCAAGGGAACCAGGAACAGGTCACAGAGGCTCTTTCAGTCGCCATCTGCTTGTGAAATTTGTCTGGGTGATCTTTTCTGGGAATTTTGCTTATTCTGTTCTCCTTCTTCTTCCTTTCCTATCTCTGTTTTTGTTTTGTTCTTTCCTCCGTAGACAGCAGGTGTTAACAAAACGGATAAAGAGCTAGAAATTCTGTCCTTGCAGAATGTTACTTTTGAAGACGCCGGGGAATATACTTGCCTGGCGGGGAATTCTATTGGTTATTCACACCATTCTGCTTGGCTGACGGTATTACCAGGTATTTCTGCTTGGTTTCCTTTCCCCTTTTGCCTCTGAAGGGCAGAGAGCCCTTACTGTATGCGCCAAGGTGCAGCTCTTGAGCAGGCGATGCATCTTGTGTTTCGGGCTCGGATGGTTCATTTTCAGGGGCCAAAACGCACATTTCATTTCATGCAACTCATGACAAGCGGAGATAAAAATAACACGTTTCTACTGTGGAGTAAGCGTGAACGATTAGCCTTTCTCCAGCTTGGGAGCCCTGGTGGTGCCCTTTTCAGAACTCGTAACACGGTTGTGGATGCAGCACTGGTTTTTAGACAGCTACAAGTGAGCGAGAAGAAAGAGGCTGCCACGGATTCGGTTGAAGAGTTGCAAAGCCCGTTGCGACTTTTTGGCCTCTCCAGGGGTGCCTTCAAGAAGTCTAAAAGTCTTTGTTTCACACAAGGCTTACAAGCTGGGGCATTTCTGAATGCTAAAATGTTCAATATATGGCGTGGTTTCCTCTTACTGGAGTCCAACTTTCACTGGCTGAATTGTGCCCACATTTAATTTGGAAAACAAAAGCCTTGTTCTGGGAAGCTCCTGTGAATCATTTGTGGCTCTCAGCTTCTATAGTCAATTTCTCACAAGGTGGACCTGAAGAAGGGCCTGTTGCCTCACCCCCCACCCCACCCCTTCTTCTGCCTTGGGGTGTCTCTTGGCAGGGAGGAACTTTCATGATTTGCACCAAATGAATCACGCGATCCCAAATTAAATCATGCCATTCCCTGCCCCAACTCATCTGAGAAACGCTAGGCTGCTTCTCACCCAGTGCTGCAACACAAACTGAAATTTTGCACCTCAGCATTATTCTTTTAGTATACATTTATTGGTCATTACTGCGCGGGGTTAATTACGCTTGAACGTCAACCCGTGTGCTGCCTTCAGTATTTGTACGGCTGCTCCTAAATAAAGGATCCAGTTGAGAAAGCTGTTGGATTCTCAGAAGAGAGAGCTTTCCATCTCCTTTGTTGAAAACTTCCCACACTAAAGCCGATCCTCAAATTTAAGAAATTTGGAAATGGCGGCTATTTAGTGCTGTTGTCATGAGTTGTTTTTTGTTGTTGTTGTTGTTTTGCAGCCATGTCTTTTAGATTGGGTGTGATCTATAGTGAAATATGTCAGAATATGGTTTCGGCTGCCATTTTTTCTGGCTCCTAATGTGTGTTTCTCCTTCTCCAGCAGAAAAACGGGTTGCGAGACAGGATTCCAGCTCGTTTTATGCAGGGATCCTCAGCTACGGGATCGCCTTCGCTCTTTCCATCCTCGTGGCTGTGATGGTGTTGATTTATAAAATCAAAAGGCCGGCCAAAAAAGCTATAAACGCCACTGCCGTTCAGAAAGTCTCCAAGTTCCCGCTCAAGAGACAGGTAACAGAAAGTAGATACAAGATCACTGTTCCTCTATATCTCTATCCCAGGGGTAGGCGACGTTGGCTCTTTTATGACTCGTGGACTTCAACTCCCAGAATTCCTGAGCCAGCAACGTTATCCTGGGACACGTCGATTTGCCTTCGTTTGTAAATAAGCATTGTCTGAAAAAGTCCCTCTGACCTCTAATTTTGCTTTCAGTCAGTTTTCATTGAATGAGCCTAATGTTGAGAGAGAGAAAGAGAAACAGAGAGAGAGAGAAAGTGAAGAAAAAGAGAAAGAGAAAGTGAAGAAAACGAGAAAGAGAAAGAAAGAAATGAGAGAGAAAAGTAGAGAGAAAGAGAGAAAGAAAGTGAAAAAAGAGAAAGTGAAGAGAGAGAAAGAGAAAGTGAAGAAGAGAAAGAGAAAGAAAAAGAAAGAAAAAGTGAAAAAAAGAAAGAGAAAGGAGAAAGTGAAGAGAGAAAGAAAGTGAAGGAAAGAGAGAAAGAGAGAAAGTGAAGAAAAAGAAAGAGAGAAAGTGAAGAAAGAGAAAGAAAGAGAAAAGTGAAAAGAGAAAGTGAAGAAAAAGAGAAAAAGAAAGCGAAGAGAAAGAGAGAAAAGAGAGAAGAAAGAAAAGTGAAGAAAAAGAAAAAGAGAAAGAGAAAGTGAAAAAAAAAAGACAAAGTGAAGAGAGCGACAGAAAGAGAGGAAGTGAAGAAAGAGAGAGACAGAAAGAAAAAGTGAAGAAGAGAGAAAGAGAGAGAGAGAGAAGGAATGTTTCCCTATTTTTCCAGGTCAGGCCTATCCCCTCAGCCCTTGTTTCTGCCTGCTAATCAGCCCCAGGTAGAAGCCAACATGGTCCGAGGCTGCCTCAAGATCGCAGGAAGCGTTTCGAGTACTGCTTTATCCTGCAACCAGGTTATTCCAAAAATCCCCACTTCTTTCCCGGGAGCAGCCTAGCCCTTTTGCCAGACCGTGGAGGTGCTCCCCTCGCCTCTCGTAAAACCCAAAGGAGCAGAGCTGTCAACGCTCAGGAATCAGAAGTTGGGCCACTTAAGCCCAAAAGCATTTTTTAAAAACAAACGTCGACTGGATTTCTTAACCAGAAGGCCACCGTGCAAAATACAGGGAGTCCTTACAACAGTTTCTTTAGTGACCGTCCAAAGTTGCAACGACACTGAAAAAAGGGACTTAGGACCGTTTTTCACAGTTTATGACCGTTGCAGCATTCCCAGCGATCACGTGATCAAAATTCAGACGCTTGGCCACTGTTCATGTTCATGACGGTTGCAACGCCCCAGGTGTGTGTGTGTGTGTGTGTGTGTGTGTGTGTGTGTGTGTGTGTCACATGATCCCCTTTTGTGGCCTTCTGACAAGCAAAGTCCATGCAGGAAGCCAGATTCACTTAACAACCAGTTTACTGACTTAACAACTGCAGTGATTCACTTAACAACGGAGAGTTTGCTGTAGAGGTGGGAGCCAGGCAAAGGTCGTGTGTGGAAAACTGCCCCTCCAATGCCTGTGTGCTTCTTCTTCTCTAGATCTATCTCCCCCCCTCACATCACATTGGCGATGTGAAAGTGCGCAGCTCTGTTTGACCTTGCCAGTCTGATAACAGCTAGCTCGCATCAACAAGATGTTATTGCCTTTACTATTCCCTGTTTCTGGCCTCTGGCTTCTATATTCTTGAGGATTGGTTAGGAGCTTAACCAATGAAATGCTATTGTCATGTAGAAACTTTTGCTTCTTGTAAACTGTATATAAACAATAAAAGCTGTGTAGAGAGCAGCCATTTTTTGCACCCTGCAATGACTGAGCACTGATTACTACAGTTTGGGCTCAGCTGTGCTCCTGAGTCTAATCACACTGAGCAGCCTCCCAGCGGCTTCCAGTGGCTCCCCTGCCCCTCGGCTCTGGGGTGAGAGGGGCCTGTTGCTGACCACCCTTCGTTTGCTCTACCCAAGCAGGTGTCCTTGGAGTCCAACTCCTCCGTGAACTCCAGCACTCCCCTGGTGAGGATCACCCGCCTCTCCTCCAGCGAGGGCGCCGTGCTGGCCAACGTCTCCGAGCTGGAGCTGCCCGCGGATCCCAAGTGGGAATTGGCGAGATCGCGGTGAGGAAACCATCATCCGGGCGCGGCTTGGAGACAGCCGCTTCCTTGTTCTCCGTGCTCACCTTCTGGCTGGTTTGCTTTTCAGCTTGACTCTCGGGAAGCCTCTGGGCGAAGGCTGCTTCGGTCAGGTGGTGATGGCCGAAGCCCTGGGGGTCGACAAGGAGAAGCCAAACAGGCCCATTACAGTAGCCGTCAAGATGCTGAAAGGTACAGAAGACAGCTGATGGCGGGAGGGGGCTGTTTTCACGAGCCTCGCCTCTTTGCACTCCTGATTTCTAATCTTGGTGTGGCTCACTTCTCAAGCTTCCTCTCCGTGGACTGACTTCTGCTCTAGGGCTTCTCAGGCCTTTGGGGTCTCTTCCTGTCCTTTCTGCAGGTGGTCCTAGGCTTACAGCCATTCGTTTAGTGACCATTCAGAGCTACAACAGTACCCGAAAAAGGGACTTAGGACTATTTTTCATGTCCCAAAGGTGCTTTTTCCAGGAGGCAACTGGACTTTGTGTTTCTCTGAAGATGTTTCACTTCTCATCCAAGAAGCTTCTTCAGCTCTGACTAGATGGTGGGGAGTGGAAGGATTTATATTCCTTGTAGACAGCTGGTCATTTGCCTTCTTTTAGAGGGTTGTTGAGGCCACTTGGAGGTTTATCTGTGTCCTCAGGGTCACCTGAGTTGTGGATATGAATGTGTATCCTTCTTGGAAGTGCTGTAAGGACTGTGTTGTACATTGGAGATAAAGGATGTTGTATCCCCCCCCTATTGAGAGAGAGATGTTCAGTTTTGAAATAGATGGCCTCTTTGACCTGTCTTGCAAATCAGATAAACCTCCAAGTGGCCTCAAAGACTCTCTAAAAGGATGCAAATGACCAGCTGTCTGCAAGGAGTATAAATCCTTCCACTCCCCCACCAGAGTTGAAGAAGCTTCTTGGATGAGAAGCAAAACGTCTTCAAAGGAAAAACAAGAAAGTTCAGTTGCCTCTTGAAAAAAGCTCCTTTGGGACAACCAGGACCTTGGATGACGGAGAACCTCCATAGACATCGACCAAGAAAAGACATAAAATGGGGCACAACTTAGATAACTGTCTTGCTTAGCACCAGAAATTGTGGGCTCAGTTGTGGTCATAGGTCAAAGACTACCTGGGTCAAGACGATGCATGTTGTGCTCCAGTTCACCTCTCAGTTCTTCAACTGCTGCCCTTCACGGGATAAGGGGGGGAGTGGGGCGTGGAGGGTTGGCTTAGAAATGCCATTCCAGAAAAGGTGGATTCCCCCCCCAGTCCCACTCCCCTCTCTGAAGCAGAAGGGCTCTCCCTCCTGGAGAATGTTTGGGTGGTTCCCTCTACTTGGCCTGGACGTGAACCCAAACCAGCAAAATATCAGTTGTGTATCTTTGTTATAACATCCTTTGTGATCCAGAATTGGAGGAAAGGTGAGGGGAAGAGTCACTGATCCCTAAAACCAGAAATAGGGTGAAACCCCCACTGAGCAGGGGATGGTGTGGACCTGCAAGCTGAGACGTCCAGGCGCAGTTCGACACGTGTGGGGCCTGTGACAGAGACGCGTTCCCCTCACTGCTGCCTTTCTCCTCCCTTCACAGACGACGCCACAGACAAGGATCTCTCCGACTTAGTCTCAGAAATGGAAATGATGAAGATGATGGGGAAGCACAAAAACATCATTAACCTCCTGGGCGCCTGCACGCAGGACGGTACGTGCCCACAACGGGCGGCTGTGGGGCTTTGGGCGTATTAAGCCCATGTTGTCCTGCCTCTTTCTTAAGCTTTTTCGGTTATCCTGGAAGAGGAAAACAGATTTAGGAAAGAAAACGATATTAATTAAACATGATGAACTGGGTATGTCTGGTCTAATGAAGAGAAGGCCTAGGGGGGACATCATAGCAGTCTTCCAATATTTGAGGGGCTGCCACAAAGAAGTGTGAGGGGGGTCAATTTATTTTCCAACAAGAAGCAACAGATAGAAACTGATCAAGGAGAGAAGCAACCTGGAAACAAAGAATTTCCTAACAGTGAGAACAAATAATCAGTGGAACTGCTTGCCTTCAGACATTGTGGGGGCTCCATCACTGGAGGTTTATAAGAAGAGCCTGGACAGCCATTTGACCAGGATGGTATGGGGTCTCCTGCTTGAGCAGAGGGTTGGACTAGAAGATCTCCAAGGTCCCTTCCAGCTTTATTATTCTATGTTCTATATATGTTTGTTCTACTCTTAGAATAGAATAGAGCTGGAAGGGATCTTGGAGGTTTTCTAGTCCAGCCCCCTGATCAAGCAGGAGAACCTATACCATCTCAGACAAGTGACTGTCCACTATTCTTCTTAACAACCTCCAGTGAAGGAGTGCCTGCGATTTCTGGTGGCAAGCTGTTCCACTGGTTAATTGTTCTGATGTCAGGAAGTTTCTCCTTAGTTCTAGGTTGCTTCTGTCCTTGATGAGTTTCCATCCGTTGCTTCTTGTTCTGCCTTCAGGTGCTTTGGAGAACAGCTTGACTCCCTCTTCTTTGTAGCAGCCCCTGAGATACTGGAAGACTGCTGTCATGTCGCCCGTATTTCTGCTTTTCTTTAGACTGGCCAAGCCCAAGTTCTGCAGCCGTTCTTCTTTTGTAATTAATTACTGTTGTGCAAAAGTCACATCTCAATTGCCCTGAAAGACCAATATGAAATATAATTTAAGTATTTAAATTATAATTTAAATATTTCACTTAAACAGTGCTAGTAATCCATTTCTCTGCAGAGGGTTGTGTCTGCACACATTTCTCTGACTTAAAAGCATTTGTGGAGCAGCTAACGTACTACCTAGAAGGAATATGGAAGTGAAGTGGGTTCCATGCCATTGTTGCACTGAACTGATGCTTTAAAAAGAAAGATTATTAAAAAGGAAAATATTACTCTTATTGTGATGCACAGAACCATTTCTAGCAGTTCTAGGCTGCTTATTCTAGAACCCTCTCAGTGTTGCAACTGCAACTCCTGAATCTAACTGCAGATGCCCCAAAATCAGAATCCTTGGGCTGGAAGGGACCTTGGAGATCTTCTAGTCCAACCCCCTGCCCAAGGCAGGAGACCTTATTGCATCTTGGACAAATGGTTGTTCAATCTCTTCTTAAAAGCCTCCAGTAATGGAGCACTCACAACTTCTGTAGGGAAGCTGTTCCACTGGTTAACTGATTCTCAGAGTCATGAAATTTCTCCTAAATTTCAAATTGGACCTCTCTCTAATGAGCCTCCACCCATTGTTTCTTGTCCTGCCCTTGGGTGCTTCGGACAATAAGCCAACCCCTTCTTCTCTGAGAAACAGTTTTATTTTGGTCTTCTGCAATGCCTGTTTTTATTCTAATCCCTGTGAAATGATGTCACCAGAAAAGACTATCCATTTTCTGATGGCGTCTCATGGTAATCTCCATGTGACCTTACCAAAAAGCCAAGCCCCACCACCTTCTCCCCTCAGTGTCCTTGCTTTCTACCTTCTCCCGTTGAGGTCCTACTCAAAGTAAAGGAGGTGAATTCTGCCTCTTCAAAATCACTCTAGCCTGGAGGAAACCTCACAGGTAGAACTGTATGTGTGGAAATTCCCACATGAGCTCAGATTTTCCACTTTGGAAAATTGGAACCCAGCAGAAAGCTTAGTGGGTGTTCAGGGAGGCATCTCAAAACATCTCAAATGAGTTGTCCTCAGGGCAACCCTGGAGAAGGCCTTGGATTAGTCAGCAAATCTTAGAAGTTCCTGCATGGTGTGGGCATCTGGGCTCCTTTTTGATGAGTGGCTGGAAGACGGCTGATTCTTCCAGTTTCAGCTTTGATGTCTGTAGCTTGAAGACATCCCCGTAACCATGTCCATCTTCACCCACCCCATGTTACCTTGCTCAGTTGCTATGGTACAGATCCTCTTTCCAACGTTAAAGTTAACACAATCCATCACAGAACCGAAGTTCCTCTCTTGTAGAATCTGAATGAAAGGACACACCAGTCCTAAAATGAGTAGAAAGCTGTCAGGAAAGCTGGAGAATATGTCAAACAGTAATGGATGGTTTTCTCCAGGTCCTCTCTATGTTCTTGTGGAATATGCCTCCAAGGGGAATTTAAGGGAATACCTGAGAGCTCGCCGGCTACCTGGCATGGATTATTCTTTTGATACCTGCAAGCTTCCTGAGGAACAGCTGACCTTCAAGGACTTGGTCTCCTGTGCCTACCAGGTAGCCCGTGGAATGGAGTATCTGGCATCTCAAAAAGTGAGTAGCCAAGCATTTGCCAAAAAGCAGAGGCTAGAAAAGGTGGCTTATAATGGGAATGTGGAACAAAACCACTACGCTGTATTAAGGAGACAAGAATAACATTGGGCCAGACAACTAAGAAAGGAGACAAATAGTCTAGAAGAAGTAGAAGAAGCTGAAATGGTATTTATTTAGAAGTGAATCAGCGTACAAAGTTCTGTCTTGGAGATGGAATAGCTAAATGTTGATTTGAAGATGATATATTTTATTTCTTTGGGTGCACAAAATGTGGGATGCCTAAACCAAAAGTGTACTGCATCTTGAAGAGAGCATGAAAGATTAACTGAAATTAAATGAATTAATTTCACTGTAGGATGCCTCAAACAAAAATTGAGCAGCCTGTTGAAGCTGAAACTGATGAAACTGCTGCATTGTAAAATATTGTGAAACCTAGATCAATGGGAAACATCTTGCTTCATTTGCTATTTAGTGGGGAAAATTGCCTTTTAAGAAAAAAAAAAAAAACAGATCCATTACCCTTCTCAAAATGATTCTTTTGGCAATGTCCCAATCTGAGCATAACCATAATTCCTCAAAGATGGTCAAATTCCAGAGTTTTGGAAATATAATTCAACGTTAAAACAACATCTTTAACATTGAGGGATTTCCCTATAAATCTTCTTGCGTAATAAGATCTTATTCCTCCCTGCAAAATCCAGTAATTCAGAGATCAAACCCTAGGGAACAATGAAGGTTCAATTTTTTTTTTACATGTCACCAACAGAGGAAATTTAACGTTGCTGTTTTTAGTAACCTCTACAGTCAGTCCTCAACTTGTCATCACAATTTGGCCCAAAATTTATGTGGCTAAGGGAGACAGTTAAGTTATGAATTTTGCCCCATTTTATGACTTTTTTGCCACAGTTGTTAAGTGAGTCATTCAGTTGTTAAGTTAGCAACGCATAAGTGAATCTGGCTTAATAATAATAATAAAGTTGGAAGGGACCTTGGAGGCCATCTAGTCCAACCCCCTGCTCAGGCAGGAAACCCTACACCATTTCGGACAAATGGCTGTCCAGTCTCTTCTTAAAAGCCTCCAATGTGGGAGCATTCACCGCTTCTGGAGGCAGGTTGTTCCATTGGTTAATTGTTCTAACTCAATTGTTCAGGAAGTTTCTCCTTAGTTCTAGATTGAGTTCTAGTTCTAGGCTTCCCCCATTGACTTTGCCTATCTGCAACCATCATAAGTACAGGCCAATTGCCAAGTGGCTGAATTTTGATCACGTGATCAGAGGGATGCTTCAAGAGTCATGTGAAAAACTATCCTAAGTCACTTTTTTTGGTGCCGTTGTAACTTTGAGCGGTCACTAAATAAACTGTTGTAAGTCAAAGACTCCTGGTAGTCTCAAGCAAGACATGAAGAGCCACCACTCCATTCAAAGTCTCCATGTCGCTGCAACTAATGTATACTCTAAAGTACAAGGAATTAAACAGAACCCTTCAGATTTATAATGAAGAATACAGATGTTTAATTGATCCAAAATGTCCATTATAATTTTTTCTCAACATTTCCCCTATAAACTGTTTCTCTGCAGTGTATTCACCGAGACCTGGCAGCCAGAAATGTTCTGGTCACGGAAGACAACGTGATGAAGATAGCTGACTTTGGTCTGGCCAGGGATGTTCACAACATCGATTATTACAAAAAAACAACTAACGTGAGTGGAAAGCTTCTGAACAATGGAGCAGTTCTGGTCACGGGCCATCCAGATGTGCCCAGAATTCCTAGGCAGCATGAGCAACGCCCTATCAAGGGAGGGCAAATTGGATAGACTCTAAAATAGTTTCATTTATTTAAACTCTTAAATAAATTATCCATTAATCAAAAACCTCTGAAGTGATATGAACGAGAGCTGCTTGTTCTTGTGTCATTATGGAATCCTCGGCTTGTCTCCTTTTATCGTAGATCTGTTAAAAGTTTGGATAAACTAGGTAGATTACCAGATTACCAAATGTTGGTGAAATCTGCTTGGGTTTTCACCCTAGGCAGGAGATCTCATGATGTGTAAGCATTTTCAGCTGGATCTGGATCAGCAGCCCAGAGAATATTTCTAGTCAATCCATCTTCTTACAAGAGGAACGTTTTTATATACCGATGCTTGCAATGCTTTGTCTGAATGCAGTCAGCTGATTTCCACCTTATTTGTGGAATAAAGCCACGAGGGTGTGCATATGTTGGAGACAAGTGAAAGATTTGCAGTTTGGTAAGAGGACAAAAGATGGGCCAATTATTATTATTAATAATAATAATAATAATGCATATAAGTCAAAATGGAGAAGACAGCAACAGACAGTAAGTGCCGCCTATGCAAAGAAGCTGAAGAAACAATGGACCACCTGGTACGCTGCTGCAAGAAGATCGCACAGACTGACTACAAGCAGCGGCATGACAAAGTAGCAACAATGGTGCATTGGAAGATCTGCAAGAAATATCATTCGCCTGTAAGCAAGAACTTGTGGGATCATAAAATAAAGAAAGTCATAGAAAATGATAAAATTAAACTGCTCTGGGACTTCAGAATCCAAACAGACAAGCACCTGCAACATAACACCCCGGACTTAACAATTGTCGATAAGAAAGACAAAAAAGTCTGGATAGTGGACGTGGCAGTGCCTGGAGACAGCAGAATAGACGAGAAAGAACTGGAGAAGATCACAAAATACAAAGAGAAATAGAAAGACTGTGGCAAAAGCAAGCAAGGGTAGTACCAATAGTAATAGGCTCCTTGGGTGCAATCCCAAAACAACTGGAGCACCACTTGAACACCCTTGGCATTGACAAATTTGCTATTAGTCAATTGCAAAAGGCGGCCTTATTAGGAACTGCTTCCATCCTGCGACGATATCTGTAAGACCATCAAACATCCACATCTGCCTATCCCAGGTCCTGGGTAAGGACTCGATAGGTAGACAAAATGCCAAATCCAGTCTGAACATCTGGCTGACTGTGCGATGATCCATAATAATAGTAGTAGTAGTAGTAGTAGTAGTAGTAGTAGTAGTAGTAGTAGTAGTAGTAATAGTAGTAGTAAAGTTGGAAGGGACCTTGCAACCGATCTTGTGGTTATCTTACAAGGAAGAAGGTTGGGAGGGATGCTCTCCAGACTTGCTTGTTTTCTTGCAGATGTTTCATTACCCAAACCAAATAATGGTCTGTGGAGATTCTCAGTCATCAAGGTCATGGTTGTCTCAAAGGTGCTTTTTCAAAAGGCAACTGGACTTTGTTTTTCCTTGAAAATGTTTCGCTTCTCAGCCATGAAGCTTCTTCAGTTCTTCAGAGAAGCGAAAGGTTTTCAAGGAAAAACCAAAATCCAGTGGCCTTTTGAAAAAGGACCTCTGGGACAAACTAGATAATGAAACATCTGCAAGAAAACAACCCGGGCCTCATTTCAACCATGAGTTACAAATATTCTCCTTTTTTGGGGGAGGAAGAAGGTGGTGGCACTAGACACACTAAATCAAGCAGGTAAATCAGTGTAATGATCATCTTCACAGCAGACAATGATTAGATGAATTGGGGTTAGTTGGGATTAAAAATTGTTTGGACTCGCTTATAGCAGAGGGGGGGGGGTCAGAGGGTCAGAAATTGCTGATGGACGTTCTGTTTTCGTGTCCCCAATGACAGGGCCGGCTGCCTGTGAAATGGATGGCTCCTGAAGCCTTGTTTGACCGTGTCTACACTCATCAGAGTGATGTGTAAGCAATGCCCACCGTTTCAAAACAAAATGTCTATTCAGGGAAAGAGAGGTGATGCCATGCAGAGAAGACATCCAGAGCTCCATGAATAAGTGGGCCTGCTCCATCCGTTGGCCTCAGTTGAGGCTTCCAGAAAGATCAGTGAGACGAGCTGCATCTATTTAACTGCTTATTTAATTCGAGCTGCTGTTCAGCTGCGTCAACAGATTGGCCGGTGAAATTCAGTCATCAAGCGATTGGTGACTTCTTGCTTTGCATGGCTTTCGTAGGGGGAAAATACAGCTTATTTTTTTTTCTTTTTCCCCCCCCAAAAAAATTTCACCGTTTCTTTCAACGTTGGTGTTTTCAGATGGTCGTTTGGGGTGCTGCTATGGGAGATCTTCACTCTGGGAGGGTCCCCCTATCCAGGAATCCCAGTTGAGGAGCTTTTCAAACTCTTGAAGGAAGGCCATCGTATGGACAAGCCAGCAAACTGTACCCCAGATTTGTAAGTTTTCTACCTGAGAAATTCATACTTTGGGGAAGCAGGCCTTTCCATCTGTCTGGGTGGATTCTTGTTAATTCAGTTGCTTCACATCCATATTTTCTGTTCATAATTTCCTTCTTCCTTCCTTCCTTCCTTCCTTCCAACTCCTCATTAAAACTGCCAAAGATTTTCGGTCAAGGTTCTAGGCAGCCTGTAGACCCATCCGATATTCTGTGGAGAAACATGGCAGCATCTTCACCAGTCCTTAAGTTGGCTTTCCTCAGGGGTTAAAAACCCTGCTTCGGGACAGCCGTACCCATACCTTTCCTCCGTGGGACGTCAATAATTACAGAGCTGGAGGTATTTCTGGAAGATCATCTTGATCAGCTCCAAGCTCACACTGTTGCCTAGGGTGTAGTCATAAAAGACCTTGGGGCCAGTCCCTCTTTCTCAGCCCAGTGGCAGTGTGGAATAATGGGTGAATGGTGGGCTAAGATTCACATTCACCCGGAAGTGACACACACTCTCTCCCTCTCTCCCTCCCTCTCCCCTCTCTCCTTCCCTCTCCCCTCTCTCTCTCCCTCCTCCCCTCTCCCCTCTCCCTCTCTCCTTCCTTCTCCCCCTCCCTCACCCTCTCCCCCTCTCCCTCCCTCTTCTCTCTCTCCTTCCCCTCTCTCCTTCTCTCTTCCCCTCCCTCTGCCTCTCTCCCTCCCTCTCTCTCTCTCTCTCTCCCCCGCTCTCAGTCCAACCCACCTCAGAGGGTTACCGTTGTGAGGAAAAACAAGAAGATGGAGCAATTTGGATGCTCCCTTGAACTTTTCTGCCATTAATATGGGTTTATAAATCTAAAAACTATGGTTGCGTGGGTCTTACCTCTGACTCACTTGAAGATCAAAGTCTTGTTTGGTTTTTCTCAATGTAACTGGGTAGAAAACATCGGCAGCAAACAAAAGGCTAGCCCCCTCCCCTCTCTCTCTCTCCAACGTGCTGATCAAAGCTGGTGGGCTTTCCAGCGTCCTTCATGGGTGGTGCTGATCAGCCCCTTCTCTTCCAAACCAGGTACATGATCATGAGGGAGTGCTGGCATGCGGTTCCTTCACAGCGGCCAACTTTTAAGCAGCTGGTGGAAGACCTGGACAGAGTGCTGACCGTGACATCCACAGATGTGCGTATCTCCTCCTTTCTTAACAGTTGTAGCTCTTGCGCTAGGCCCGGGCACTGTACTCGAATGTTAGACGGTTTGAGCATTCTTGAGTTTTGCAACCATTTTAACAGCATGGAGAGCTACAGTGAGCAATTAAGGAGAAAGGCATAGGAGAATGCATTTTCAATGCTGCAGTGTAACATTTAACTTTAATGCAGTTACTGATTTAACTTCTTTATTTGGAACAGTTTAATGCACCTCTCTGTTCCCACAGTACATTTTCATTTTTTTTTTTAAAAAAAAAGCCAGTAGAAAAGAGTTATGGGACAAAGCCAAAACAGTCTGTCTAACAATAGGAAAAGGACCTAAGTCCCAGAAAGAATGGAGCAAATTTGCAAACCATTTCAGATGTCGCCAAGTAAATCTACTACTAGAGAATGTGTCCCACAGTCCACGTGCCACCACTGAGAAAGCCGAGTCTCCACTCCAAGGTGGAGGTGAGCTTTTTCTGAACAGGGCCCACAAGGAGGAATTAAGTAGTTGAGCAGGTCTACATAGGAGGAACCTTGTATGTGGTTACACCATGGAGTTAATGGAACAATTGCCTCAGCTCGGGGCTGATCCCGGATCCCGGTCAATAATGCCTTTTGACTTCTAGGATACTTTGAACCCTAATTTCATTTGAGTCCTGCCAAGCTGGCATTAAACCACACCCGGATTCATGAAAGCCCTTAATGCGCGAAGACCAGACGGTTTCACCCACTGGCGGTGGAATTTCAGATCTTGCCCAAGCAAGCAAAAGAAGAAGGTGGGGTCCTTGGGGTGATCACCTTGTAGCGCGTGCTCCTTGCTGATATTCACCTTGTCTTTCTCCTTGCAGGAATATATCGACCTCTCCGTGGCCTTTGAGCAGTACTCCCCCAGAGGCCAGGATGCCCACAGTGCCTGCTCTTCAGGAGATGACTCCGTATTTGCACACGACCTTCTCTCGGAGGACCCTTGTCTTCCAAGGCCGCAGGCCAACGGCCTCGTCAGGACATGAGGACGGGCGGAGCCTGGAAAACTAGATTCGTGAATGTATGTCTGAGGGGAACTCGGGAACGAGACCCAAAGGAAGGTGTGTTGTTCTGCTCCACGGCACAGAAGGGTGCGTTGCTGTGTAGCCGTGGCGCGCGCGTGCACACACACGAACGTACTTTCTGCTGTTCTCGTCAAACGCACGGAAACTTTGGAAGGCAAAGGAGAGGATGGTGAACCTCCAGCCTCTGAGTCCGTTCTCCGTGCCCGCAATTCTAGGAGTGGGTGGGAAAAATGAGAGAGAGAAAAATAAATAAATAACGTGCACAGAATGTAGGAAGCTTTGCCCGGTGCCCTCGTTGCACGGATCCCCTTTGTTGGGACTCAGTAGTGCCATGTTGCCTGCAGGGAATCTTAAGTAAGTACTGATTTTATATTTGATAAATAGAAAATTTTGCCATCTGCTTAAGGACGTATTCAAAGCCATTCTGAGGAGTTAATCACTCTTGAAAGCGCTAAACCTCTGTTAAGTGGCCTTTGCTTTTCCCACGCTGGGGATCTAAGCCAGCTCTTGCACTAACGATTGGATAAAAGTGAGTGTGTGCAGGCAAGACGAGACGGGAAGGCCTAGAGGCGTTGCAGGCTCTAGAAATTTGTGGGGGTGTGGTTTGTGTGTTGGGGTGTGCGTGTGTGTCATTTGTTAATGAACATGTAGCAATGACTTTGGCTAACTTTTCCAGGGGATTTCTATGAACTGTAAAAATCCTGCTATTTGCTACATTTATTTAGCTATTTTCTGGGTGAGTTTTCTGTAGATAAGGTTTAAATATATTTGTAATGGAGGCCTATAATTTTTTCCTAGAAATCTATTATCAAACACTTGGAGAGAGAAAAAAAAAACACCACAATATTACGGGTACCCATAGCCAAGCGCCTTTCAACGAATCACAAAATTTTATTTCCTACAATTGTGCATATATCTATAAATAGCTCTTGTGTGTATATAATATCTCTGATATTAACATGGCTGACAAGACTGAAGAATTTATTCCAGTTAAGAATTCTTCCAGAATAGGACATACTGATTTAGGCAAAGATTTTCTTTCATCTTGTCAGCTTGTTTTGTTTTAAAAATTTATATTTTAACATGTATATTTGTAAAATTATTTATAGATATTAACATATGTTCATTAATGTATACATTTAATTTTTTTTCATCAGATTTAAGGATTTTAACTTATTAAAAATAGAAGGAAGATCATTCAAGATGGTTTTTCTGAATTCCTGAGAAATCTTAGAAAAATGTATAGCTGTATAGTCCTTCAACACATTAATACTAATTTTTCTTTATAAAAAAACAACAAAAAAGTGCTTTTTCTGGGTTGCAACAATGATCAGGACATACATTCTGTAATATTGAAATTAAACTCAAACATTTGACAGCTGGAATAACCCTTTTTCCATCTCTGTAAAATTGCTAAGAAATCTTTCATCACTTTTGCCTCTGTGCATTAAGTTGGAGGGATTTTTTTTGCCAGTTTTTTTTTCTTTGAATCAAGGTGTTCTTCATGGTTGAAAAAAATAACAGATATGTGGCAGAACTGAATGTTGACTGCCAATAAGATTAACCCTCTCTCTCTCTCTGTGTGTGTGTGTTCCCATTTGCATTTTTACAGCAAAGGATCCAAACAAAATAATAACTCAAAATATACATAAAGTTCTGATGATTGTAGGTAGCCTTCGAACCTAACATTTTGCTTGGGAAAAATGCTAGGTTTTGTGGATAACTCAGTCAAAACACTCCAGGTACTTTGCTAGCATTTTAAAGAGTTGTTGCAAGATTATTTTTTGTAGAGTCTTAGGGAGCGGTTCCGGTTTCTGATGTAAGAATTTGAAACGGAAGGCTGATTTTTCACTCCTGCTGGTCCCAAACCATGAAAATGCAAGGAACCCTCCTGTCTTTCCTTCCAGTTGGCCCATAGGAGAACCCAAAGTACATCATCCAATCAATTCCCAAATTCCTGATCTAGCACTAGTCAAAAAACTCCCTCTGTCCTGTTTCACATGAGGGTGTGTGTGTGTGTGTGAAGCACCTGCAGCTCTCCTCCGTATGCATTCATTCCGTCGGTTGATGTGTGTTGGGTAGCTTGCTAACCTCCCAATTGGAGTGGTTGCAGTGGATGGGAAGCCAGGCAGGGGATAGTTCGTTGTTAAAGACTGGAAAAATCAGCAAAAGCACAGAGATCCACCATAAGCTTCCCGGCTTCCTCTCCTGCATTCCTTTCTTGCACTGAAAAGCCCCCAGCATGGGAGCAAGTCAGCAACTTTGCAAAGAGTAGCTCAGGCGAAACAGGAAAACAGATTCCAAGATCAAGAGGTTGAGCCTTTAATTTGGGGGGCAGATAGTGGCCAGCTTAGGCCTCAAAGCAAGGAGGCAGACGTTCCCCTGCGCTGGAAAATGGATGCCCTCAAGGTCTCCAGAACCACCACACCTAAACGGAAGATGGCAGCTCTGTTACGAATCGATTTTGAATCATGAAACGCATCAGGTCCAAAGCTGATGCCAAAGTGATACAGCCATTGGAGCAAAGGCATACCTATTGAATCAGGAAGTTAAAAAAAATAGGGATATATAAAACGGAGGAAGAACAGGGTTCTAGTTCTGGAACTAGGATTAAGGAGGAAGGTGGATGCAAGAACCATGTAGCCAAGTCTACATACCAGCAATTTGACTAAGCGCCATTTGAGCGCCATTTGCAATGGAATGTACAAATGTCCTTGGAGAAGTTTGTATATCCCAAAAGTGCTTTTTCAAAAGACAACCGGACTTTGCTCTCCTTGAGTAGGTTTTGCTTCTCGTCTTAAGAAGCTTTCTTGGGCTCCTGAAGAAGCTTCTTGGGTGAGAAGGAAAAACAAAAGCACCTTTGACTTGGACAACCGAGAACCTCCACAGGAAGTTTTAAACTTTTTAATTTGCATAGTTTTAATATTTTAATTATTAGTTTTTATTTATCTTTTAAAAATCTGTAAGCCACCTGGAGTCGCCTTATAGGGAGAATGGGCAGCAAAGAAATTTAATGAATAAGTAAGTAATAAATAAGAGCTGCTGGATCTAATGGTTAGAGAAAGAAACTTCTGAAGAACTCGTCCTAATGGATTAGGGAGCTAAAACTGGAGGCAGGAAATTGGTGCCTCCAGACTTGGAAGATGCTCTTAATATAACTTTACAGTAAAATAGAATTAGCTCACGTCGCTGTTATTTTCGGTCTGGTTTACCGGAAAGAGCAAACATCAGTCGGATTCATTCGCACGTTACGTTACACCATTCCAGATCAATGTTCAGCATATTCTTGCAATACCACAAGACAGATTCAAAATAATTCATTTATAGAAATGGAGCTTCAAAGAGTTTTTTTAAAAAAATAAGAGTTCTATAGACCCCTACTTTTGGGGGGGAATAAAAAAAATTGTGCTATTTTCTTATTGGGCCTGTTAGTTTTGTACATTCCAAGCCTCTGAAATTCGCCATTCCAGCCTCAGTGGTTACCTTAAATATATTATGTTGGCATATAATATATTTATGAAAGATTTTACAAAGATATATTTCTTACATAACTTTAAAGCCAGGGTTTGAAAACTTGAATGTTTCTTTAAACCTTTATTCCTGTCCGTGTTGTGTTGCAATCAGTAAGTTTGCAAATTGTGACATTTTGATGAACCTTTATCCCAGTCCAACGTCTTCTAGCTTCTGTATTGCTTTTAAACATTTTAGAAGATGTGAAACAAAAAAAAACAACACAAAAAACATACCCTGTTTTTGTTTACCTGGCCCCCAAATAAAAAAAAAAACTTAAACCTAATTTATTGTCACTCCTGCCTTTATTTTCTGAGTGAACCGTTTAAGATGGTCCGTGTACAGGTAGACCTCGACTTAACAAGTGTGTGTTTAGTGACCGTTCAGTTACAGTAGCACTGGAAAAAGTGATTTGTAATCGTTTTCACATGATCATTGCAGCATCCCCACAGTCACGTGATCAAAAATTTGAACACTTGGCAACTGGCTTGTACTTAGGACAGTTGCACTATCCCGGTGTCATCTGATCCCCTTTTGAATCCTGACAAGCAAAGTCCAGGGAGAAGCCAGTTCACTTAACAAACGTGGCAAGAAAAGTCATAAAATGGGGCAAAACTCACTTAACTCTCTTGTTTAGCAACAGAAAGTTTGGGCTCAGCTGCAACCTTAAGGGACGCCTGTATACAAAGCTGGAAAACAGTACAAGGTGCTCCTTGAACTTACAAGCGTTGGTGTAGCGATGCAAAAGGGCCCCGAATTCCATGGCTGGGGAATTTTGAGGGTTGAAGTCCACCCATCTTAAAAGTTGCCAAGCTTGAGACATGCTGGTTTAAACAGAGCTTCAAACGTGACTGAAGAGATGTAGCTTCCCTCCTTTGAAAGCCTTTTTCCATAGCTTCTCCCTGTAATTCCTTGGCGTTTTTCAAATTGGCCCTTTCGAGAGGAGGGTGTTTATTTTTTATAAGGAGCTCTTCTTTGGGGTAGCCATCTTCCCCTCTGCAGCACCAGGGACCCCCTCCCCAATTTTGGCCCAAACTAAGAACCGAGGGAGGTCCGAAAGCTTCTGTTTCTTGAGACTCCAGTAGGAAAGTTCAGAATTTCTTTACTGCTGCTAGTCAACGGGGAAAATGCATGAAGCCCTGGGGTTATCTCTAGCTTCCCATTGTGTCTCTTGAGGATAAACGCTGCCAACTGGCTCCTCATCGGAGGTTGTATCTGCTGCTATCTGCCACGAGTAGATGCCTCTGTGTTTCGCGCTGAAATCTCTACATCTGGTACACTTTAATACTCTTGTCAGGCTTTTGCTTCCCCACAAGTGTTATCTTGTAATAATTGCACTTTGCCTCCAGCCACGGCTCGCTTTGCATAATAAACAGGAGGTTTAATAAAAGGGAGCATTTAACCAGGATTTCTGGAACTGCTGAACACTGATAGCTTTGAGATATGGAGCCAGCCTCCTTTTTAACAAATTTCTTTCAAGTCAAAGTTGGCTCCTACTGACTTGGAATACGCCCTTGGTTTTCTGTCCTGGCTGTTGCTCCAGACAGGATGCATGTTCAGATCTAGCCCACAGAGTTTTCTGAAGGTCTCCCATCTGAAAAGTAATCCAAAGGTGACCCTGCTTAGCTTCCCAGGTCAGTGAGGCCCTACCGTTTGCTAAGAGAAGCAGCCTTGGTTGAGTTGGAAAGGCCTCCTTCTCTGGGACTGTCTCCTTATTGGCCAGGGTATTGGCACAGTGTCCTCCTTCCATTGACCTCCACGGCCTTCAGCTGGAGCAGGAGAACTTCAGCCTTTGCTCCAGAAGATGCTGTTGGGAGGAAAGATTAGCAGCGTCTCCAACAGTTGGGTTCCACCACCTGCTTTTAAACAGCACCATACAATAAGCTCTTGCCTCTTTGGGATGTTCATACATGTGTACAGATGTGTGCAGAGCCCAGAGAAACACATTAGGGCTTTTGTTAGACTGACTGGTTTCGGCTCCTGCCCTCCAGAGACACAAGTACACAGCCTAGCAACACATCCCTCCCTCCTTCGCCATTAGTGCTGGTATCTGGGACCACCAGCATTGGAAGCCAAATCCTTTGGAAGGCCTTTGGTTGGCTATTCCCGCCATCAGGCAGAAAGAGCACAATTTCAGGTCTGTTTTTCCCACCCCCAAACATCCCTAAAAACTAGCCATCAAATGGTGATTATTCCAACCTGTATACCTTTCCGATTGCAGCGATTCTGAGCCGCTAACAAGCCCAAAGAACCAAGGGGAAAGTTTAAAACTCATTGAATGACAACAATGACACCCAAGCCCAACCCAATGGTCTGTTTTCAGAGGAAGCCTCTGCCGCCTTCAAAAGCCATGATCCTGCTGGCTGGGGAATTCTGGGAGTTGAAGTGCGCAAGTCTTAAAAGTTGCCAAGGTTTCGGCACCTCTGGGTTAACCCATCTTGGGTTTTTTTCCCCATACTGCAAAGTGAGAGACATCTAACTGTACCTAACTTTCAGTTCAGAAGGGAGATGAAATATAGACCCAAATGTAGTTGGGGTTCACATTTCACCCCAGGGCCAACGTATCCGGCTGCTTATTAACAGAGGATCAAAAAAAGTGAAGACGGTGTTATAAAAATCTCTGCACTTTTTGCATGGCACGCACATTAAAAAGGAGCATAGTGTCAATCACATAGTGTAGCCATTATCTCGACATCCCTACACGCTAAGACACACTCAGTTCACCCCTGGTTCCCCTGATTGAGTTCACAAAACAGATTTTGTGACCTTTGTCAGATGGTACCCAACCTTGAGCTATTGTAACCCCAAAGATGGTGGAATCTTCCTTAGAGAAACATGAAGCCTTGGCTTTGTGACTCCTTTGTGACACACTGCTAGAGAAGACAGCAACCACATTATTTTGAAAATGCACAGCAGGAAAGCTGAAGAAATAACACAAACTTCAGACGGGCAGAATGTTCTCCTCAAACTTGTCATGAAAGCAAGGAGTTAATTGTTACTACACACATAACAATTTGGTTCCTTGCCCAGGCAGATAAATCATTTGTTTTTAATTAAACTATGATCAAATTGGTATAACTTGTTTTTGAAGCAAAATCTTAAAAACAGTTTCACTTGCTTTAATATTGCTGCTGGCAAAACAGGAAAACCAAGGTTGATTAATGGGCACCTTGCTAGCAAATACTTTCAGCACGAAAAATATTTGATACCAAATGTACAAGCGCACACACACGTTTATTCAAACATATTCGAGCAACGCAGCTCCTAAGCTGAGGCTGCTGGCTCTTGGAGCAGTTGTCCATCAATGTTTAAGTGGCAATCTTCAAGGATGCTGGTTTAAAACTATTAACCACTATTAACCACTCCTTGAAATCTGGAGAAGTAAGAGCCACTGAAGAGCAGGTTACGCACAAAAATCCGGCACTATTGTCTACATTCGCCTCTTTGTCAGTGCTACTTTGTGAAAACAGTTGTAGAGATGTAAAATTGGGGGAAAGTCTAAGATCAGCCAAAAAAAACCCCAAATTGCATAATGTGCTGTAAAGACGACCATGGCAAAAACAAGATTACCAAAAGGTTGGGCACAATTTATCAAGCATATCCCTAATTCTCCCAAAGGTGCTTTTTTTTTTTTTTTTAAAGCTACTGGACTTTGCTTTTTCCTGGAAGACATTTCCCTTCTCATCCAAGAGGGTTCTTCAGTTCTAGTTGAAGAGTTCTGAGTTCTAGAACTGAAGAAGCTTCTCAGAAACATCTTGCAGGAAAAACAAAGTCCAGTGGCTTTTGAAAAAAAAGCACCTTTGGGATAACCATGACCTGAATGAGATGGAGAATCTCCGGAGACATCTCCCTAATTGTGCAAAAAAAAATCTCCCCTTCTAAAATGAGTGCATTGCAGGTGGTCCTCTATTTACAAGTGAAATGGAGCATAAGCTGTGATGGCCGTAACTCCATCTCCAATGGAGACTGCTCTTTTAATTAATTTTCCCCCCTTTAAGACATGTATGAACAAAATGCTACCAGGTTTTTTTCCCCCTACTCTACTTAATTTTATATACACAAACACACACACACACACACACACACACACACACACACACACACACACAGGGCGTGTGTCAGCATCTCTCTGGCAAAAAGTAACGTCAACATTACACTGGAAAAGGCAAGCTGTTTCTTGCAAAATAGAAACTGGGTACACACCCAGTTATTTTGAGGGATCAAAAAAAAAAATATTTTGGGATGTTGGAACTAGCCCACATTAAAAGTCCTTTGAACATTTGCTCAGTTAAAAAGGCAAATTACCCAAGGGTCGGGTTTTTTCTGAAAAATATAAAATGAATACACACGGCATACATGTTTCCTAAATATAACCCCAGAAGTGAAAAACGTTAAAAAGAAGAACACACCTACAGTATTTTCATTTTCAACAGAGCAAAGCCGTGGCAATCTGTAGGACCAGATCCAGGTCTCCTCTAAGCCAACATTCTGTTATCATAAGCAGCTGGAATAGCAAAGCCCAGAAAATAGATCAGCAAAATATAAATACAATGTACCCCGTACCCTCCTCGCCTAGCAACAGGTAGCAAGCACCAAACCAATTCTGATCTGTTATCAACACACAGCAGAGGCAATAGCAGGTTTAACCTCCATGAATCTGCCTAATCTCTTGTTTAAAGTCACCCGATTTGTTGCAAACCAGCCTGCCTATCCAGGTGGAACCATGTGTGGGGAAAGCAATCTGCTTTTCCACGGCACCCCATTGATGCAACCTGCTTCTAAATGGAAAACACCTCTCTCACGCAAGCGTTCGGATTTAGAAGTTGGAAGTGTGAATCAGACAAGCATTCCATCTCTTGATTCCTTTACACGTTTTGAGTTCATTTTGTAGGTTGGGCGAAGCCATTCACTGGAATGGAAGAAAAAAAAAACAATTGGTACCGATAGAAGAGAATATTTGCAGCTGAGGGTTGAACTGTGGGGTCCTTGGTGTTCTTAGAGTTGTTCAACAAACATCATATTCAACAGTCTGATCTGCTAGGAAGGAGGTAACACGTGTCCCACAGGATGTAGACACATACATGGATGGAAGGGCTCAGCCTCCAGAAGTTGTGGGTGCTCCACCAGTGGAGGTTTTCAAGAAGAGACTGGATAGCCATTTGTCCAGAATGGAATAGGGTCTCCTGCCTTGAACAGGGGGTTGGACTAGATGACCTCCCAGGTCCCTTCCGAACCTATATAAAAAAGTGTTTCATAATGTCCCTCTCCATTTTCCTCTCCAGCACATTGTCCGATTCTGGAGTCTGAACAAAACTCAGGGATCTGAAGTTTGTGCTGCCAGTCCTGTTTCACTTAAGTCATCTTGAAACGGATGGGATTAAATGCAGTCCTTTTCCATGCTGTTATTCCCTCTCTATAAAACAAATTATCATTTTGTAGAATTTCTGTTTATTAACTAGAGGCAGAAATGGATTTGGATAAGTGTTTTGCTTTATGCGATCATCTCATGTCCAAATGAGCCAAGAGCTTCTCTTTTAAAGAACGGTGGAACTGCCTTTGTTGAATATATACATCCTGCACACATCCCTCATCTCTCCAATATTGGATTTGAAAAATTTAGGCAAAAGGGGAGAATGCATGAACGCTGACTTGTGAAACAACACGGATGTTAGAATGAAAAATATCTTTATAGCATTTGTGTTACACAGAATGTAAATCTAATGCTCTAAATTCCTGAGGATTTGAATCATGCTTGGAAATAGGATGCATTTTATAATCTTGGAAATCAATGGGGTTTTTGCTTAGTACAGTGGTTCTCAACCTTTTTAATGCTGCGACCCCCAACCGGTCGTAAGTCGAGGACTATTCAACTGGTGCAACACCATTTGCAGAATGGGACTTTTGGCGGGCTCAGCAGGGCAGAGACAGCCTGGACAATTCCTATTGGCTTTTGAAAGCCAATAGAATTAGACTCTATTCAAGAGAGTCTATTCGATTGGCTTTCAAAAGCCAATAGAATAAAAGGGAGTAGCACAGCTAAGGGGGAAAAAATGGCGGACTGCGTTGTTTGGCGACCCCCGTGAAATGGTCATTTGACCCCAAATGGGGTCCCGACCCAAAGGCTGAGAACCACTGGCTTAGTAAGGAGAATAGAGATCTGTTGGCATCGGGAAGAATTAAGAGATCAGCACAGCAACAGCGACATCTACTGGTTAGGAACAGAATAATAATAATAATAATAATATAACGAATGTAAAATAGCGTAATTATGCCTTTAGGAAATTTGTATTTTCCCTTTCTTTTCAAGCTTGTTTAACAGAAACGTATCTCAGATGAAGACTATTATACCTGTAGGGCAATATTTTCCTTTCTTGCTAAAGCTGAAACTAGCATATTTACCTGAAAAAAAGAATATTTTCCCCCAAACAATTTGAGTCTTATTTTAAGCAGAATTTTTCTTTCTGAAGTTTATTTTGGATGCGTGCTTGGATGTGAGAGAATGTCTTAGATTCGCCAACACTTTCTGTTGATAAATACTGTATCTGCTCCTGTTTTTCCATTCCATATTGTGAAGGTTAAAATTTAAAAACAATGAATACTGTAGATCCGGGGTGTGTCCAATCTAGGCAACTTTAAGATCTGTGGATTTCAACTCAGAATTCCCCAGAGTTGCTGCTGGGCGGCAGAGTTTTATGCTGGTTCGGTTCCTTTCTCCCAGGCTGCTCCCAACCGGGAACAGGAAGTGAGAGATCCAGCACCTGACCACTCCCTTGCGGGCGTTCTACAGGGCTTGGTACTCTCTCCTTTCCTAGTGAACATATCTACCTGAAGCTGCTGGGCAAGACCACCCGTCCCCCCATGGGTTGAGGTATCGTCCATACGTGGACGATACTCTACACCTGGTGACCCGAGTGATGAGGTCACCATCTTTCCATGGTGCTTGGAAGCTGTAAGGACCTGGATGGGGGACAACTGGTTACAGCTGTTACAGCATGGAGCCTCGGTGACCCGGCTTTTAGCCATCTTTCATTCCAGATGGGGTGTCATTGCCCCATTCAGATCCAGTTTGCAACTTAGGGGTTTTCCTGGAACTCATGTCTCCTACTCAAAGGGCAAATGGTGGGCTGACTAGGAGAGTTTTTGCACAGCTGGTTTTTGTGCACCACTGGTGACCTTTCCTGGATCACGATTCCCTGCGCTCAGTTACTCAAACCTCAGTCCTCTCTGTCTGGACTACTGCAAGGCACTCTACACGTGGGGCTACCCTCGAGTTGCATTCAGAAGTTTCAGCTGGTGCCAAGTGCAAATAAATTTAACAAATAACAAATGTCATTAGTTTTACGGTACGTTTTTCACTAGGAAATATCAGTCTCGGTGTCCCTAAGAAATATTGACATGGTCTTAAAAAATTAAGATGTCAACTCTACAACGAACCTGGCTACAGCCCTTTCCTTCGTCTAAGTTGCCACAGGGCTGGGAGGGGGGAAGGACAATTTCTACTAGTCAAAATATTTTACTGTCCCGTGGGAACCAAGGTCATTTCTGTCAGTTGGGGGGGTGGAGCTGGAGCATTTAGTTAGAAAGCCCACCAAACTTTTCTATCAGGGAACATAGCTGATTGCATAGCTCTGGGGTGGGGAGTTTAACTTTATAATATTGTCTCTCTCTGAAGGGGACTTCAGACTTGGTTTCACTTTTGACCATGCCGATACTTTGCAACCAATAAACATGTTCTTTGAGGAAATCACAAGCCTCGGAGTTCTGCTTTATTCGTCTTTGTCTATTGGAACCATGACGTAGGAATGACATGCAGCAGGCAGATAGAAATTGAGTTTTCTACTTGCATTAAATAGCTACCATTTATTCATTTAGTTATAAAATATACAGCTTTATTTTAAAGACCAAAGAAAGAGAGAGCTAAATGGCTCGAGACAAGAATATTTTGCAGTTTCAGCTTCTGCATGCTGATTTGTATGAATACGACAGTTAAGGATCAATATGATATCAGAAGCATTTGTTTTTAAATGAAAGATACATTTCTCTATTTGTTTCATACAAAACAAAACTAATTCCTTCCTGTCAAAAAAAATATAAGGAAGCAATAAAGGAGTTCAAGAATGCAGAAAATATCCTATCAAGTATCAGTGGCTTAAAGACTGCAGAAAAAACAAAAATACAACAAACCTCGTTATCCACAAAATCATATTTACGCCTCTTCAACTGCTTTTTAGAAACAGCAACTGGGAGTAAACAAGAAACTATTTCATATCAAACAATATTAGTCAGACTAGTGACACTAAAGCATAGAAAAACATTTAATAAATAATCTACCCCAAAACTGGAGAACAAAATGGGAGGAATGAAGAGATCTAGCACAATTTTTCCATCTTAGAGATCAGTTCCTCACAGATTTTTGTGAGTTCCTTATTTTCTTTTACCTGTTAAAGAAACAATAAAGCATCATATGGTAAATGTTGCATAAATACAATTTTGAAAGAACTCACCACCAGCACAAATACATTTATATTAACAGAGTTCTCCTTCATAGGAACAGCTCTCTCTCTTTCTCTGTACATGCATTTGTGTATGTGTGTAGTACTCATAAGAATCAAAATATAGCTGCATGTGTTCATAGTTTAAGTAGAGTTAAACTTGAATTTTATAGTCCACCTTCCAAATGTCTGCTCTGAGGGCAGTTTTTTCTTATGCCTCACAGATGAATCTGATTGATCTTTAGGCTTCTCAGTGAAGAGTTAGCTAGAATTGCTATAGGAAACGATAACTTTAAGGCGTCACAAATTTCACGTTGCTGAGAAATTTTCTTCAAAGGAGTGAATGGCAGCTACTTGCTTGCCCAGATGGGAGCATTCGTAGGTTTTTTCTAGCCAAGTCATGGTAACCCACATCTTGGAAGTACCGAATAAAATAACAGAGTTGGAAGGGAATGCCTACCTTGACTCTGCTGACAACTCTCTCTCTCTCTCTCTCTCACACACACACACACAAACACACACACAGCTTGAACAAAAGAGGTCTTTCCAGACCCTCCTCTCCCGTGAGTCTCTTCTCCGCATTCTAGAAATCCCACAGAGCATCTGGAGACTCCAAAAATCGGGCAAGCAGGCTTGCCTCCAAAAGCCACGCAACAGGACTGTCATGGGTGGCTCGCCACAAAACCCCCTCTCACAACCGGGGGGGCAGCAACGGGAGGGGGCGGGGGGAGAGGCCAAAGGAATGCAAGGGAGAATGAGACAAATCCAGCACCCCAAGGTCATTGGCAGGGAAAGTCCAAAGTGAGTGTAACCGATTGGCTAGAGCACGTGTCAAATTCACAACGTCATGTGACGTCGCATAACGTATTGGGCCGATTTTGCCATTGCTGGCAATGGGGTGGGCGTGGCTTCCCGGTGATGCGTCCGGCCCACAGGCTGACACCCCTGGGCTAGAGTAATGGACGGTGGGAGGACGAGGGGAGAAGGGAAAGTGTTCCTGTCCTGTTTGTCTGTGTGTGAAACCGCTTAGAACGGCCGTTTCTACTTCTGCACCCACGGGGCATCTTCACCGAAGTTGCGCTCTTGGCCAAAAGATGCCCCAGCAGTTTCCTTGGCTGGCTTAGCCAGTGGGACAGTTGTGGCAAGCACACTCGGGCCGTGTTTCGGAGGCTCCAGAGGCCGGCTGGCCCACCAGCAAAAACGGCACGCTGTGTCACCCGGGCCATAAATTCGCCATTAGTGGGGAAAAAAAGACAAAGAAGAGCGTGGAAGAGCGTCTCCTCTCCCTGGGAGGACGGGGGTCGGACTGACCTTCTGCTCAATGCTGCTCTCCAGCGACTGGACCCGCATCTGTTCCTTGCGCAGGTTGGCATCAAGCGCAGCCACCTCCGACTGGGCTTTGCTCCTCACCTGGGCGATCTCCTCGTTGGCTCTGCGTGCGAGAAAAACGGCCCCATTGAAGGGTTTCTTTTTCCCCCCACCCCAACTTGAGAGCAGCCTCAGCCCGTGGGGGGACCCTGACGCCCCACTCACTGATCCAACTTCTCCTCCGCATGGGCCTTCAGGGCTTGGTATCTCTGCTCCTCCTTCTTAATCCTTTCCAGGTAATCCTCCACGCACTTCTTCAGCGTTTCTTCATTCTGGAGAACGAGAACAAGTCCTCTGATTTCACCGCCCTGGGATAATTCCCACCTTCCCCGTTTCCTTCTTGAACACAAAACCCGAAAACGATCACCGAAAACGATCCGCTTCCGAATGGGAATATTATACATTTGTTCTTTTGGAGAAAAGATCAGTCTGAGGCCTTAAATTCTGGCTCTGCTAGTAAGTACTTAAATTTCAAAATATAAAATGGAAGGTCCTAGCTCAGGGGTAGGCAACCTTGGCTCTTTTATGACTCGTGGATTTCAACTCCCAGAATTCTGTGCTGTGCTGGCTCAGGAATTCTGGGAGTTGAAGTCCACGAGTCATAAAAGAGCCAAGATTGCCTACCCTTGTCCTAGCTCCTTTCACCAGTGTTGTCACCGTTGCTAAACTATTGGTAATTAGATTCTTAAAAAGTCTTTTGTGGATATTTGGGGTAGCATTGTGCCTGTTTGGAAGCAAAAACTTTCTTTAGGCAAAACTGTTTTTCTCCAATAGAGCAAGCACAGGTAGCTGATCAGATGCAGAAACCGGAATTTAAAATAAATGTTGGCTTACTGATGCCATTCTCTTCTGACCAATTAGTGTAATTAACCAAGAGACAATATTGATTCCATATGTACAGAAAGCAAACATCTTTTTAAAAAAGCAGAAAGAAACAGCACCCTCCAGGCAAAAATAATCAGCATAAAGAGCTATCAACAACATTTAAAAAGGAACACTGCAAAGTGTTTTAGGATCTATTTACACTCCTTCAAAATCCCCAAATGTTTGAAGATTTGTCACAACTGTAATTGTTTATGTCGTATTAGCAATACAGGAACCTTTGTGCCGATTACAAAGATCCTCATTCAAAAAAAGGACATTCAAAGCTTCAAGCTTTAAAGCTTTAAAGGGAAAAAAATGTGTCTTGTCAAATTGAAAGTTTAAGAGAGTCGGAAGCAGCTCAGAGTGGAGCAGCTGAAAAAAAAAACGCTCACCTTTTGAAATCCTTCAATGGCCTCCTTTTGTTTTTTAAACCGGTTGAAGAATTCGGAGAAAGAGGTTTCCAAGGCATTCAGGTCAGAAATGGCCTGCTGTTTTTCATCCAAGGCTTTCTGTGCTTCTTTTTTGGCCAGCTCCTTCTGGCTCTGACAATCCTCTAGGGAAATAAATTGGCACAACGTTCCAGGACAGTGGTCTCCACACTCTGGGCTGTGGCCCATGTTGCAAATCAGGCCGCACAAGCAGCGGGCAAGCGAAAGAAGCTTTATCTGCACATGCGTGGGATCTACGTTCTGCGTGGAACCATTCCCCCTCCCATGGAAAAATTGTCTTCCAGAAAACCGGTCCCTGGTGCCAGAAAGGTTGGGGGACTGCAGTTCTAGGAGACATGGAAAAAGCCAGGAAGGGGTTCCCCCAAACTAAGACGCTACCTATTCCATTATTGATCTTAAAATCTAGAAATTTGGAGAAGGAGCATCTATCCCAGGGTCTCCCAACCTGAAGCCCTCCCAGTATCACTGAATTATGTCCCCAGCGTCCCTCACTTGGCACTACGAGCTGTGTAGCGTCACAACACCTTCATCTAGTCTGTTTCCTAGTCAGCCACAGATAAGGAAGCTTCATGCATTCGAGTCTTACACACAGAATGCCAAGTCCAGAGGCAATTGTGGGGCACAGCTTCTCCCTCAGAAACAAACATTTACAGCATGTGATCTGGACCTACCCATCACTTGTACTATGATGCCCTCAAACTCGGCAACAATTTTTCTGAAAACAAAAGAGGAAAAATTATTTTAACATGCCACCGGGATATTGATCAAATCTCACACTGCCGAATAGGCCCCGCGTTCTGTCAGCAAAGGCCTTTATTCTCTGAGGAGGGGGCTTCCTTTAACTTGCAGGCCCTACTGTTCAAACTAGGCGAAGGAGATCGAATCAAGCGAAGCTAAAACAAGGAACACATTTGCCCTCTCAAAAACAAAATCTGCACAAGACAGACAATTTGCAAAATGGAAAGGGGAGAGGCGTCTACAGTCTCATCCGTTAGAGGGATTATCCACGGCATATCGGTGAGAGAAGGAATAGTAAACCCAGCGGTTAAGGCACCAGACAAGATACTGGGAAGGTGGTGAGTTCTAGTTTCACCTTCAGGCCAATCACCAGGGGACGGGGAGTCCTAGTCCCGCCTTAAGGCACAAAAGCCCATCTCTTGCCACATCGTTACAGAGCAAATGTAACGTTTCCTACTTTATACCTACTCCATTTCTTTCTTTTCGGCATAAATCTTGTCGTGCTTCTTCTTCCATTCCAGGGCTTCCTTTTGTTTTTCCTCTACCTGAAACAGCAAAATCCCCCCCCCCCAGGCCTTAGCAAGAACAGGGGTGTTTTCAGATTTAGGGGAGAATGAAACAAACCGAGGTAAGCTGTGTGTTTTTCATCTGGCCTCTCCAACTAGGGCCTTGCCCTAGGACGGCAGCCCGGAGACGAGCTTCCGCCACGGACATCCCGCTGGGGAGACTCGATAAAACTGCTGTGATATCAAAATCTACAAGACCCCTGGGGGGGAGGAGGGGGGAGGAAATGGCAGCCATCGAATCGGACGGCTTTGCAAAACGAGTAAGCGGAAGACGTTCCTTTCTCTTCTGGGTTTCCAGAAGACTCCAGAACTTAAGAGCAGGCAGTCCATTTTCCCAAGGCCCCCCCCCCACATGTGAAGCTGGGACTGTTGGGGTGGACCAAATCAACAGGGCTGCTGCTGCTGTGGCCCCCACCACGGGCTGGGCAGGGACAGCCAAAGGCTCAATGTAGCCCGGTGGGGGGGGGGGGGCTGGAATGCCCAGGTCTGCTCTTAAAGCAGGGGTCTCCAAACGTGGCCGCTTTAAGACGTGTGGACTTCAACTCCCAGAATTCTGGGAGTTGAAGTCCACACGTCTTAAAGCGGCCACGTTTGGAGACCCCTGGCCTAAAGGATGTCTCCACCGATCGAACAGTATGTAGGTAAGAAAATAAAATCTTATTTTGGGATAGGACGAGCAGGGAGAGAGGATGGAAATAAAGCGTGGAGTCCTCTTACCTTGGCAGTGAGGCTCTGGACAGTAGCATCCCTCTCCAGCGTGACCTTCCACAAGGCGTCTTCTTCCGTGTCTTTTCGGCCGGGGTTCAGCCCCTCGGCGGCCGCTTCGGAAGGCCGGGCCCAGGGGAAGAAGGGCGCCTCCTGATTGGCGGGGAGCTGGGCCGGTGTCTTGGCCTGTGGCAAGCAACGGAGCGCGTGTCTCATTGAGGAGGACACCTACGGGGTATATGACTCAAGAAAAGCTTATTTACTCGACGGCAGATAGGGAGCCCTCTGCTTACGACAGTAGTTCTCCACCTGTGGGTCGGGACCCCATTTGGGGTTGAACGACCATTTCACGGGGGTCACCAAACAACGCAGTCCGCCATTTTTTCCCCCTTTCCTTAGCTGTGCTATTCCCTTTTATTCTATTGGCTTTTGAAAGCCAATAGAATAGACTCTCTTGAATAGAGTCTAATTCTATTGGCTTTCAAAAGCCAATAGGAATTGTCCCGGCTGTCTCTGCCCTGCTGAGCCCGCCAAAAGTCCCATTCTGCAAACGGTGCTGCACCAGTTGAGTAGTCCTCGACTTACGACCGGTTGGGGGTCGTGGCATTAAAAAGGTTGAGAACCACTGGCTTACGGTGTTTCACTTAGGGGCCGTTCCAAGTCACGACGGCACTGGGAAAAAAGGGACCCATGACCTTGCAGCGTGTCTCCACGGTCAGCTGCCCAAGTTCAGGCCCTCAACAACCGACTCATCATTAGGACAACCGCGGAGTCGTGTGATCCCCTCTTGCAACCTTCTAACAAGCAAAGCCGGAGTCATTTAACGACTGTGTGACTTGCTTAACGACTGCAGGGATCCCCTTAACAGCTGTGGCAAGGAAGGTCGCAAAACGGGGCAAAACCCACTTCACAAACGTCTCGCTTAGCAACAGAAATGCGGGGCTGAGGACAACCCATAGTGACTCCAGTTCCTTACATCTTCATGCCTGGGAATAGTGGTTTGTTTGCCTGAGCAGCTCTAAAGACACTCCTGGCATCTCCTGTGGCGGGAAAAGGGAAGCCTGCAGGCCCAAACTTCATTTGTCGGCGCTATCTTGGCCTTTTAAATTTGCCCCGGCTTCCGTTTTGCAAACGCTCAATGGAACAAAGCACCAAAACTGTTCGGATGGCACTTACCGGATCTGGAAAAACTTGGAAGTCAAGGTCCACCAGCTTTTCCTCCTGTCCAGGTGCTTTGACTTCAGGGGAGGCAGTCTTGGTGGAAGTCCTGCTTAGAAAAAAACAAGGATAGAACCGTCGTAGATCAGGCTTTTTTTTTCCTTACCTGTTCGGTTTAAAAATCTCAGCACCCGCCTGTCTTCAACTTGGCTCGGAGGTTAAATAGTTCAAAACCAACCAACCCGGGGCAAGCCGAGGCACCCTGCTTCTTTATGCTGCCCAGATTTTATGATCATGTCAATGGGGGCAAGTTCATTTTAGAATAGAATAGAACAGAATAGAGCTGGAAGGGACCTGGGAGGTCTTCTAGCCCAGCCCCCTGCTCAAGCAGGAGAACCTATACAATTTCAGACAGGTGAGTGTCCAGCCTCTTCTTAAAAATCTCCAGGGATGGAGCGTCCACGATTTCTGGAGGCTGGCGGTTCCACTTCTCCATTTTGAAGGGAGGCCCGACTTAAAAGGGCCATTTCTGACCGCTGTGACTTCTGTCAGCTTCTCTCCTCAAGCCTTCAATGCCACAGGCCAAAAAGTTAACCATGGAGTGTGGGGGTGCCAAAAACAGAAAAACGACGGTGCACACAACAGGTAATCCTGGACTTAAACCATAATGTAAGTCATGATGGCCTTAAATTGGGGCACCCACACGATCAACCCAATCTTATGACCTTTTTGGCAGTGGTCATTAAACGAGTCAATGGGTGCATGAGTTGTCTATAATTTTTCTATATTCTCTCACTAGCGCATCTGGCCTCCGTAATGCCGGGCGGTGCCATGTGGCTGAGACCAGGAAGCCAGCCAGCCAGACTGGTTTTAATACCTCTGCTTATAGCCCTCCCTGATGTGGCTGAGCCTGGCATCCAACTTCCTGGCGTGGCCGCCGTTGAGCCACTGCAGGGGCTGCGGGGCAGACCAGCCCGAGGGGGGCAGCTGAAGCCCCCCACTCAGTTCCACTCAATTTCTGTGGTTTTTTGCCACCGTGTTCTCTAGATGTACAGGTAGCCCCCGACTCAAAAGTTCATCTAGTGACCATTCAAAGTTACCCACGGCATTGAAAAGGGGGACTTAGGACCATCTTTCACACTTAGGACCCTTGCAGCCTCCACGGGGTCCCCAGAATTCAAACTCTTGGCAACCGACTCACATTTGTGACGGTCACAGTGCCCCCGGGATCCCCTTTTGCGACCTCCTGACGAGCACAGTCAATAAGGGAGCCAGATCCACTTAACAATGGTGCTTCTAACTCAACAAATGCAATGTCTCACTCAACAACTCTGGCAAGAAAAGTTGTAAAACGGGGCAAAACTCTACTTAACACGTTTCCCCTAACAACGTAAGCTTGGGGCTCAATTATGATCATAGTTCGAGACTCCCTGCATCTCGTAGGAGAGAGTCCAGCTTCCCAGGCAACTTTGAAATATAAACGCGGCATTTGAAGCTGCCTACATGAGCTTCCAGAACCCCCACTTTGCAAAAGGCAAGGATACCTACACGTTTTGTAGCAAGGCAGCCCCCGGAAAAGTTCCTTCGTCAGGACTGGGACCTTTTTTCTTCGGGCTTTCCCTGAGCAGAGGGTCAAACTTCAAGTACAGGGACTGCTTCCTCCAAACAGACTCCTTCAGCTGGAAGAAACGCGTGTTGTGAAGCCGGCACAGGCTGCCACTTCGCACCTTCCTTTGTGAAGTCGTGCAGAGGGCAGTCTCCCTTCACGAGTACTCTTACTTACCGAGGCCATCCCAAATTGCTCCAGGTAGTCTATCTGTGTTCCAAGAACTAGGAGGAGGAGGAGAAGACGCAAATAGCCATCAAAAATTCATGGCAAAATAAACGACTGCTTTCTGAGACAAGTGAAATGAAACCCCTTCCTGCAACGAACAGCCGGCCTTCTTCTTCCCGTGGGTTGTTTAAGGAATTGCGCTGGCTGGCTGCCCTTGCCAAACAGAAACTGCTTTGCCAAAGCTTCCAATAATAATAATAATAAATGATTCTGAAACAATTGCTCAGGGGGGTGAACAGATTGTCCGTGTGCCTGGATCCGCGTGGAAGGATTCACGCCTCGTCAAGGCAACGTGCAGTCACCGTTCCTTCGCTAGACGAAGGCGTGAGAGTGGCCTTCTCCGAGAGCCTTCACCGGAACTGCCCTTTCAGCAGTTATCGGTGCAGCTCTTGTTTTTCCCTTCTCTGTTTTGAAACAGTGGGTAAAGAGTTTTGGTTCAGGAGCCAGTTTGCTATTATCTACAAGGCTTCGGCCGTGCTCTATATAAATGTTCCAAGCTTCTTTTAAACAAGACACACAAAAACAAACACAAAAACAATAGCTATTTACTTAGGTTTGCTCACGGGAACATTCCAGCGTTGACTTGGCCTCACACCTACCTTCCAGGGGTGATCGGAATTCTTCATTTTCTGTGAACAGCTGGTCACTTTCGCTCCCCGCTTCTGTCCTTCCCCCGAGGGCCCTGGGCACCAGATCCCCTGAGGGCAGCTGCCCATTCAGAAACACACCTCCTTGGTCCGAGGCCTCGGATAAGGTGGCTTCTGGCTTCACCTAAGCAAACAATATTTGGGGGGGGGGGGAAACAGGTTCAGCAGGCAAGGCATCTATTTTGAATCACACACATGGCTAGACTTCTCCCTTTCGTTCGGCTGAGCAGGGTGGGTAGTACAATGGCCGGTTATTTCCCTGCATGGGAAAGCCGTGACCAGCAGATTTTCCCAACAGAAGACTTGCCCTGCTGATCTCGTTTTGCCAATCCCAGAGACCGGCCCCGGCTTTTCCCGAAATCAGCCAGAGAAGCACAAGCTCAAACGTTGCTTTGCTGTGGGGAACGTGTCCGGTCACCTGAGGCAGAGCCTCGGAATGAACCGAACAGACAATTTTACTGGGAGCCCAGGGAGGATGTGGTGCTCTCTGCCACGCCCTCCGAAGCACGGCCTTTTTCTCTCTCTCTGCGAGACCCGCCTGGCATAAACACAATTAGGAATTTGGGGATGATACAATACCAGGGTTTCCTCTGAAGGTTTCCCTCGATCATCGTTTTCAGCCCCAGGCTGGCTGTTAGTCAAAATCCGATCATCAATCTCTTTCCTATACGACACAGAAGGTTAATATCAGGACATCTGAGAGCAACAGTGTGCGATATTTTATTCAATTTCTGTAGCTGCTTAACTCAACCAAGTGACTCTAGGCCGGGGGTGGGCAACCTTGGCTCTTTTATGACTCGTGGACTTCAACTCCCAGAATTCCTGAGCCAGCCTGGCTCAGCTTGGAAACCTCTCCCTTTCCCCTCAGCATGGCTGGCTGGCTCAGGAATTCTGGGAGTTGAAGTCCACCAGTCATAAAAGAGCCCAGGTTGCCTATCCCTGAGCTAGATGGTTCACAAGTCTTTCCTGCTTTTTAAGTAAGTCATTTGCAGTTCAACACCTCTGTTGTTCTCCAGTTTCTCTGTATCGTGCTGCTATTCACAATGTGAGGTTTGGGGTAAATTGTGCTTTTTCAGCTCTCCAGTGGTACAAATTCCCAGCATGCCCCTAAGGCTCAGAATCAGTTTCAAGTATTCTGAGCTCAAAAGAAGCCATCGGTGTTTCTCCTTTTTATACGTCAAAGCATTTTATTCAAATAAAACCTCGGATCAATTTTTTTTCTTCAAAAAATTAGATAGCAGGCAACACTATTAACAAATATTTGTAGCTCAGGGTTGACATGAGGGGACCTTGGTAGTCTTTGAGCTTGCTTATTTTCTTGCAGACGTTTCACTACCAAACTAGGTAACCTCATCAGTGCTCAGTAACATCATCACTAGCACCGATGAGGTTACCTAGTTTGGGTAATGAAACGTCTGCAAGAAAACAAGCAAGCTCAGAGAGCACCCAGGACCCCACAGGCAACACTAGGAAAGTACTATCAATTGATCTACTTTTGTCATAGCGAAATATAAATGAGGGAGCCGAGGCTTAACACACAAAAAATATTCTAGTTTGCATTTGATCAGAATTCAGACGAATCAAAATGCTTCAACAGGTTAAAATTTTCCACGTGGAGATGTTTGTTTTCCAAAGAAAACATTGCTTGTAATATTGATAAAACATGTTTATTCCAAAAAACTGGACGAAATCTATTCATAAGGAAGAAACAAAACTTTGGGCTGGCTAAAAGAACTGGTTATTGAGCAAAATGAAAAAGTTCAATACGTCCCAGAACAATTGACTAGGTCAGTGGTGGCAAACCTATGGCACGGGTGCCAGAGGCGGCACTCGGAGCCCTCTCTGTGGGCACACGTGCCGTTGCCCCAGCCTCGCTTCCCCCCGCGACCCCCTCCAGCAGCCCCCCCTGAAGGAGACTCACCCTTGAGCGTGGCCCACATGAAGCAGCGCAGCCAAGGACATGGCAGCCAGGCAGCGTAGACAAGACTCTGCCCTCACACCCCATCATGCAGTTGACGCTGCAGGGCACGGGCAGAGGCATGGCCACTATAGCACTGCTAGCTGCCTGGGCGATCTGTGGCAGGCCCTGGAGGCGGTGAGTGGTCCTGTGGGCAGGCGGGGCGGGAGATGGGGGGCAGGGGCGGGGCAGGGGGTGGAGCGGGGCCAGTTTTGGGGCACTCGGTCTCTAAAAGGTTCGCCGTCACTGGACTAGTTGCACTACATTTCATTTGCACCCACGTGTAAATTTCTGGCCTTCGCCGATTACAGGTTTTCCACCAATACACACTACGGCAGTGGTTCTCAACGTTTGTGTGACGGCGACCCCTGTCACACAAACGTGCCGCGAATGTGCAGCGCCGCCCGGAGGGGGAAAAATGGCGGATCGCCTTGTTTGGCAACCCCCGAGAAATGGTCGATCGACCCCAAATGGGGTCACGACCCATAGGTTGAGAACCGCTGCACTACGGTGTTTCTCAATTGTGGCAACTTTGAGATGGGCGGACTTCAACTCCCAGAATTCCCCAGCCAGCAGGTTGACGATCACCCATTTAAAGTTGTCAAAGTTGAGTGACATTGGCACACTGTATTTCAAGGGGAAGATGGCTCCAGATGCAGTCACGGCATACTTACGGGCTGCTGGGGATGAATCCCAGAGTCTCAAGCGTATCCGGCACTTTCTCTTCCTGCGTTTGCAGAGCGTCTGCTTCCTCTTTCGGGACATCCGGTGGCAATATCCCGGGTGCTGGACATTCAGGGGCTGGAATGTTGGCCTCACAGCCCAAAGCGTCCCAGTCAGAATCAAAGTCAATGCAGTCGGAGAGTTTGGGGGCCCAGCTTTTATTCATTTCAGTGCTAGTCTCCTTTTCAATGTTCTTTATTTCGCCCTTGTTTACATTTTCAAAGCTCCCTGATTTTTGAACGGGCCGCAGGCGAGACTGTTCTAAGTACAATATTGGTAAGGGCTCAGGGTTGGAGGTTCTGCTGGGAACAAGGCTTCGGGCCCGACAGCCACTTAGAACTGGCTCGGGGACGTCGTCCTCGTGCAGCAATGAGTCCAGGGAGAAAGGATTCCTGGTTGTGCAGCCCGCCCCCTCGGAGGGAATAGTTTCGGGAAGGCTCTGAGGGAAGGAAAACAAATCGCAGGCAAGGGAAAACCCACCTTGCTTTTCAGCTCCAGTAAAACCTTCCAGCAGGGACAGTTTCTGGCCCTTAGAGAATCTAAGCAGGCTGCCTGAGCAATTAAATGGCTCAGCGTCATTGAAAGGAGTTGGGAAGGTCAGATCCTCATCTAACAGATCAGGAATCAGGAGCTTTCCTTCGGTTTGTGCCTTCTTTTTTCCCGAAGTAATCTCTGGGGTCGCTGTTGGCTGACTCCTGCTGGAAAGATAAGATAGGATTCATTTTAGCTAGTTTTAGAGGACACCGACATTGACTTAAAGCAGTGTTTCCCAAACTTGACAATTTTAAGGCATGTGGACTTCAAGTCCCAGAATTCCACAGCCAGCAATGCTGGCTGTGGAATTCTGGGACTTGAAGTCCACATGCCTTAAAATTGTCAAGTTTGGGAAACACTGACTTAAAGGCTTCTGTCTGGCACTCAGAAAGACCAAGGAGAAGAGGCTGTAACTCACGGGGCCCATTCTTTATTGACCAGAACATCTGCCTCCCACTTCTGAGAGCCTGTTGTGAAACAGAGTGTTTTTGTTCCCGTGGATGTTTTGATTACACTCTTTGGAACACCTATAGCTGATCTGAACTCAGTGGGAATAATTTGGAAATAAATATTGAATGAAGCACCTGCAAGAAAACAATCAACCTCCTAGAGCAGCAGACTTCAGCTCCTGCAATTCCTCAGCCAGCCATGCTGGCTGGGGAATGCTGGGAGTTAAAATCCAGAAGTCTTAAAAGTTGCCATGGTTGGAGGCCCCTGTCATAGAGCACAACGATCCTACAAGATATGCAGCAAATATATGTGTCCAATACACTGCATAATTAGACCCCCAGTTCTGAATCTGATGCGTTGGTGCAGTTTTCAAGACAGGATCATCATCCCCCCCCCCCCCGGGAAAAGCAGACTTTAAATTTTTATATTAAAATTTTGAAAACATGATTGGTGGAATGCAAGATTAAGAACTGTTTCTCGAGTCATCATATTAGACATGACTCTGGCGACCGTATGGAGAAATCTATGAAAATGACCGGTCCAAAGTCATACAGGTGCCTTCGTTCCCAAGACAGACCTCAACTCAAATTGTCCTATTATTACTCCAGAATTTTTACTAATTTCTATAGAAAGAGTTAATTCGGTTTACTAAAGTAAAAACCAACAGCTGAAAACAGAACAGAAACCATCCTTGCATAACCTGTTCCTAGAGCCAACTCACTAAAGATATCCTGACATGTGTGGAAAAATAAAAAGATCTTCACGCCAGCTTAACAGGTTTGACTGTCTTCATGCAGCCCGTTAGGGAAAAGGCAAGAAGCATCAAAATGTTTGACCACTGAAGTTCCAGGCTCAGGCAACGATCCTTTCCAGATCCAAAGGCGAAGAATAGTCGCCAGTGCAAGTCCCTATTTCTCTGCGTACGTGTCCAAGGGATAAAAGTGCCAATTTCTACAGGAAAGAACCGCTTCCTTGCTTCAAAGGACGAAGGCTGCAAGGGAATGGCCTGCTTTTGGAAGAAAAGCAGGCCATTCCCTTGCAGCTTTCATCCTTTGAAGCAAGGAAGCGGTTCTTGCCACTTTTCTGGTCTAAATTTTCCCAACACATATTAGAGAAGGGATCACTCACACAGCGGTGCATGGAGTCAAGAGAAGATTGTCTGTAAACTCTGCTCTAAGAGAAATTTCAGGCCTTTTCTTTTTATCTGGAGTCAGGAGCCTGCGAGTCTGAGGATCCCGCAGCGGCGTTTGGAAAGTTACCTGCAAAGGGAGGGGGGGGGGAAAGACCTTGTTCAGAACGGCAGGGAAAAAACAACTGCAAATTTATTACACATTTAAAAAAATATTAACATGCTGCTACTCCATTGCTAACAGAGACACGCAAAACAGGAGGCAAAAAATAGTTCTGTTAAAGTCCTAGCAATTAAAAAACAATTCAGAAAGCTTAGAAAAAAATCAGAGCTAAAGTAAAAACTAGCAACAAATAAATTCTGTATCCCTACAGAGTGCAGCGGCTGTGCTAGCACAACAGTTAGAGCCAGCTGGTCTAATGACTAAGGCACCAGGCTAGAAAGCGGGAGTCCGTGAGTTCAAGTCCCGCCTTCGGCATGAAAGCAAGCTGGGTGATTTTGGGCCGATCCCTCTCTCAACCCGACCCATCTTACTGGCTGTTGTGTGGAAAATAGGAGGAAGGTGTGTTGGAGATGTTTACCGGCTATTTGTAAAAACAAGAAAAGTGGGACACAAAGAAATAAGAAATAATAAAAAAACATGCTGAGATACAAACTATCCAAGCCTACTTGGGCCTAAACTCGTCTCTTTTGCAAACCCCCAGCTAACTAAGTTCTTCTAAACTGATCCTCGGCCGAATCTTCTGGGATACGGTGTTCTGTCCCCTGGCTACGAAACAGACAATGCCTTTTTCCCCCTACAGCAGCGGTTCTCCACCTGTGGGTCGGGACCCCATTTGGGATCAAACGACCATTTCACGGGGGTCACCAAACAACGCAGTCCGCCATTTTTCCCCCCTTTCAAAAGCCAATAGGAATTGTCCAGGCTGTCTCTGCCCTGCTGAGCCCGCCAAAAGTCCCATTCTGCAAACGGTGCTGCACCAGTTGAGTAGTCCTCGACTTACAACCGGTTGAGTAGTCCTCGACTTACGACCGGTTGGGGGGTCGCGGCATTAAAAAGGTTGAGAACCACTGCCCTACAGCCTCTGGTATAAAATTGCTCTGCTGGCCATCAGGGCATACCTTCATAGGTTTCACTACTCCCTTCGGAGGCACATTTTCTTTCTGCGACAGCCGAAGGATGGAAGTCCTGCCTGGGGTCTCCGCAGGTGTCAAAAGCATGGCGTAGTTTTCGGCCGCTATGTCGTCGCCGACATTTTCTCCATTTAAAGCGTGGAGACTCATCCTAAAAGGGAAAGCATGCAAAGCACATTATCTGGGAATTTTGCTTCAAGGTAGCAGATGGATTCCAGGTCCCCAAACTCATCCTTCTGTCCAGGATAGCAGCATCGGAATGCATCAATTCCTGAAGATAGGCTCCCCGTTTCTTTAAATTAATTCACCGTGGGCAGCAGCTTCAAAACCGAAGCCAAGTGTAGGAACGAAAAACCTGCACCCCCCCCCCTCCAGATTTGCCAAGATGACTGCATTAAATAAGCTTTTCCCATCAGCGGTCACGACAGTGCATTTCAGCAAAGGCTCCATACGTCTTTAAAACACAGAATTGAAAATAACTAATTCTAGCTTGATCCCCAGACCATTTCCCTAAGCGTATTCTCTTGGAGAATACATTCTGTGATCAGGAAGAAAATTACTTGCAATGCTCCCTTTTTACAACCCTGTAATCCAGGGGTCTTCCAACTTGGCCCTTTGATGACTTGTGCATTTCAACTCCCAGAATTCCTCAGCCAGGCACGCTGAGGAATTCTGGGAGTTGAAGTCCACAAGTAATCTGTAAGGTGCCAAGTTTGAAGACCCCTGCTGTAATCCCTTAATTTGAGATAATAATTTTCACAATTATAAATTTAGCACTGATGAGGTTACCTAGTTTGGGTAATGAAACGCCTGCAAGAAAACAAGCAAGCTCAGAGAGCACCAAGGAGCCCTCTATTATAAGTTTATAAATATACAAATTATGAATAGGATATTTATAAATAATTTGCACACTTTTCTCGGGCACGAAGTAGCAATTCTTTAAAGAGCTACAAACATTCCCCTCAGGAACCGGGCTGGTACAGGTAATCCTCGACTTACGACCTCAACTGAGCCCAACATTCCTGTGGTTAAGTGAGACATCTGCCAAGCTATTTTTTTTGCCCCATTTTATGACCTTTCCTGCCACAGTTGTTAAGTGAATTGCTCCAGATGATAAAGTCAGTCACCCGGTCGTTAAGTGAATCCGGCTTGTCAGAAGGTTGCAAAAGGAGATCATGTGACTGTCATAAATGTAAATCTGAGTGTCAATCACATGACCCTGGGGAGGCTGCAACAGTTGTTAAGTGTGAAAAATGTCCATAAGTCCCTTTTTTTTCAGTGCCGCTGTCACTTCAAACGGTCACTAAACAGACAGTTGTAAGTCGAGGATAAAGGAAATGAATAAAAGTTATTCTTTTATAAATTGTAGAAATGTAATACCATTATATGAGATTGTCTATTTAGCACAAAGGTAACACTGTAACTGCCAAATGCCGTCAGAAGGTCTGTTTACTGTTTCCTGCCTAAAAATTCCTCCTGGAGATAGGAACTTTCACCTTGAGTAGAAATCACTATCAAAGAGGGGAATTTTGACCCAAGGTGAAAATTACAAATAAACAAGATAACAGCAGATGGACAGAACTGTCAGGATGACCTTTTAAGTGTAAAAACAACTTCAAAGAATGACTACAGAGTTGAAAGAGCTTCTTAGATGTGACATGCATTGTAAAAAGTATAAAATGCAAAGCTTGAAACCTGCTTTTTCCACTGTTTTGAACTCAATCCAACCTGGGAAAGGTTGAAGAGGCCGCGTTTGCAAACACTCTTCTTTTCTTCTTTTCTTATTTTTATGTTTTCTCCAATAAAACTTTGTTTTGTTAACCAGACTTGTCTTCGTATTGTGCGTATCAAATTTTGGGGTTTTTACATCTCACAATCTTGGTGGAGAATGCAGGCAATTAAGAGCCTCTAGGAGACACAGTAAAATCCAGGAGCTCGCCTGTTTATTTCAACTGCCTGGAGTTATCTGAGATCTAGTTTCCCCTTGCAGGCTCTGAGCCAAACTAAATTGACAACTCTGATTCACAAAAATAATAAAAAAAAAAACAGGAAAAAGGAAGAAAGTCAACAATTGAAGTCCAGACCAGGTAACTCAGTGCATTGGCCCAGGTAAGAAACTTTTGTCCCGAAGGAGGGAACCATGCAATTGTACCTGGGTGGTCAGGAGAGCGATTGTGGGAGGCTTTCTGCAATAATGGCTGTGTGAGTATGATGGGCTGTGTTCTGGGAACACTGGTAAGTCCAGAGAGTGCGGGCCGGAAAGGTTGAGGTCCCTTGCTCCCGCAAGGGGGAAGGCCAGCCTGAAGGGAAGCGAACTGGTGTTAAGAGTTTTGAGTGGCCATCAAATCGAGAACCTCAGGGAACCATAATCAGGGAAACTCTCAAGAAGATGGGCTGTTGTTGTGGTCGTTGTTGTAAACCTAAAGAAAAAAATATATAACTGTAAAATTGAGTAGCTTCACACAGGAAAACCCATCTTACTAGCAGCAGACCCCTTGTGTCTGTGGACGGGTTTCCCAGGCCCTGCCCAAGTGGAGCCAGAGTAGAAAAGGAAGTTTTGAGTTTGAGCTCAAGGACTGCTTGGGAAAGAAGGGGAATGAGAGACACGTGTGTATGTCTCTGTGTGTGAGTGAGAAGACCCTTTTCCCAAACAGTTTTCTGTTTTCTTTTCCTTGTCTTTGTGTATATATGTTTGTCAAAGTCTTTGTGTGTGTCAATGCTGCTAACATCGGATGTTTTTGACAAAATATGAAGATGCAGACGTTTTCTATTTAACCTGTGTATTACTTTTAGAGGTTAAAATTAGATAGTTGATGGAGAAGGAGGGGGGGGGAAGAATGTACTTGTGGACTAGTTAGCCATAACAATATCTCAGTAGAGTATTTTCAAGGTTAGTTGTAATGAGAGAAGATAACGGGAGCCACAGTTCACACTTCAAACTAATTGGAGAATGTGATTAATGACTGTTAAATGAAGGAGTGAATTATGCTTTGTTACGGGTGTGTTGGGGGAGGAGAATTCAGATTTTGGCTTCACTATGTACCTGCGGAAGCTATGTAGCAATTAAAAAAATTCTTTAAGGTAAATAATGCCTCAAAGTTCTTTGAAGAGCTTCTTCTTTCAGAACCATGACAATGTGTGAGGTAAATATGACTGTTACTAATCTCAAGAGAAAAGAAGATACCAAAGGAAACACCCTCACTGTTTGTCTGGCCAACAAACAAAGTGAAGAAAGATGTGTTTGTTTTGTTTTTTCTTTCTCTCTCTCTCTCCTCTTAAGAACAGCCCAAAGTTAGCAGGAACAATAAAGCTGGAAGGGACCTCGGAGGTCATCTGGTCCAACCCCCTGCTCAGGCAGGAAATCCTATACCATTTTCTTGCCTATTACTTCTTCTCTCTCCCTTTTGCAAATGTTCTTCAGAAGTGCGTTAATGCCTTTTCAAACTCTGCAAGCACAAACCTCCCTTCCTCCAGCTTTTTCTGGCTGTGTTGCTTTGAGAGCAGAGAAAGAGAGAAAAAGGAGAAGGGGGGGGGGTTGATCGTTTTAAACTTTTTCTCTGCTTAGAAATCCGGTTTGGGAAAGGTGGGGTTGCTGTGAAATTTAATGCCCACTTTTGCAGTTTCAGCTTGCAATTTTTTCCTACTCAAAAGAGGAGCCAGTAATTGTTGGACAATTTTGGGGTGGAGTGGGGAATGTTTGAGTTTAAATTGTTTAGTTACTAAGAGTTAGACCAGGGGTTCTCAAGCTTGGCAACTTTAGGACTTCTGGACTTCAATTCCCAGAATTCCTCAGCCAGCAAAGCTGGCTGAGGAATTCTGGGAATTGAAGTCCACAAGTCTTAAAGTTGCCAAGGTTGAGAACCCGAGTTAGACCTATGAACCAAAAGAAATGACTCTGAACTGTTTTGCTGAGCTTTGTAAATGTTTTCCCTATTTAATGGAAATTTAATGGAAATTTGTTTCCATCTGAATGGAATTTGATTAAATTGGAATTTGGCTCACTTTATATTTTCTTTACGTTTTCTCCAATACAACTTTATTGTTAACCAGACTTGTCTTCGTATTGTGAGTATCAACGTTTGGGGTTTCTACATCTCACAAGGAGGACGGTATTTATAAACCACGTGCAGAGCTTTCTCGGGCAGGAGGCGGCCTCCTCCTTTAAAGAGCTGCAAACGCTCCTCGCGGCCCCGTTAACGACGTCCGAGTCTGTTCACGCAAGGAGGATTCCCACGACCCGCAACCTTCCCGAGGGCACACCCCCGTTTGCTAGGAGCCGGCGGAACGGACGCGGGACAGACAGCCGGGGGTCAAGGGCTGCCTTCACGCGACCCCGCTTGACCCGCGAGCCCCGTTGCCGACGTTCACACGAGACGCCGCGCCGCAAACTCACCTCAGGAACCGGGATCGGAGCCCCTCCTCTCAGCACTCAGCCGGGGGCGAGGACGCGGAACGGAATCCGACCCGAGGAGGGGGGGAAAAAACCGTGGGAAGGCCCGGAGACGCGAGTCAGCGCAGTCCCCTCACCGCCGTCCGAACGCCGCTGCCCGACCCGGCCCCTCAACGGCAGCTCCCGTTTGAAATTTAAAGGACGCCGCTTCTCCGCCAATGGCGAGCCTGGAATCGACTGACGTCACGGACGAGTCACCGGGGTGGAGCCGTTCGGGCATTCGCGCATGCGCTAACCGACCCGCCCGCGGAAAACCTCCCGGAGGAGGGAGGAGCTTTGCCAGGGAGGCGTGGCCTGCCGGAAGCAGCGAGCAATAATTGAACAGCTGCTTTGATGTTTTACCTTTTGTGCGTTTTGCGCGCTTGTCCCGGTCAGAGGTTAAAACACTGGCTTATTCATTGGTTTTTATTTATTATGGTATAATGCGAAAGCCTCTCATCTTGCAGAGGAGATGGGTGGGCTTAAAAAAATTTAATGAACAAATAAATTGATGTAAGCAGGCCATTTTTTTAAGCTAGAACAAAACTTTGAGGAGTAATAACTCTCCAACGTTTAATCAAGTTCTAGAATTGTAAACGTCGAAATAAAAATTGCACAAAAATTCTTTTGAAAAAGAAGAAATGAAGGCTGTGATATTCAGTGATTTATAATCTTTCAAGGTATAGTAATTCATATTATTAAGCTCTAGTAGCTTACATCACATTGTGGCACAATAAAACAATAGTGTTAGTTAGACACAATAAAACAGTATGTGCTAGCACTTTACCATAGTATATAGGATTTACACTAGGACAGGGATAGGCAACCTTGGCTCTTTTATGACTGGTGGACTTCAACTCCCAGAATTCCTCAGCCAGCCTGGCTCAGCTTGGAAACCTCTCCTTTTCCCCCTCAGCGTGGCTGGCTGAGGAATTCTGGGAGTTGAAGTCCACCAGTCATAAAAGACCCAACATTGCCTACCCCCGCACTAGGATAATAGATGAACCTCAGCCTGAATCTTTATGGAGATTTTCAGTTATCCAGGCCATGGTTGTCCCAAAGGTGCTTTTTAAAAAGGCAACTGGACTTTCTTGGTTTTTCCAAAACGTCCTCAGCAAAAAAACAAAAAAGTCCAGTTGCCTTTTGAAAAAACTCCTCTGGGAGAATCTCAGCCTGTAATTTTGTGGAATGTTCTGCAGTGTAGCAGAAAGACATAACTTTTAATTCACAAGCAAGCAAGTGGCTCTTATTCTGGCAATATGTCTAGGAACTTCTACACAAGGTCAGAGGATGACTACACAATTTACATTCCAGATTTCTGTTCCTAACCAAAAGCAGGGGAAGCACTGATCCAATAAAGCGAGACGATTTTAAAAACCAGAATGACGTTCAGAATTCCTGCCAATGCTTTTTTAGTCTATCTATGTATATCCCTTAACAAGAAGCTTTCTTGTTTTTCTTTGAAGACGTTTTCCTTCTCATCCCAGAAGCTTCCTCAGCTCTGACTGGATGGTGGGGAATGGAAGGATTTATACTCCTTGCAGACAGCTGGTCCTTTGCCTTCTTTTAGAGCAGGTATGTCAAACTGCTGGCCTGCGGGCCAGATGTGTCACGCTGAAACCACACCCACCCCATTGCCAGCAATGGGGAAAAAGTCACAATACATCGTGCAACATCACATGTCCTGAGGTTGACATGCCTGTTTTGGAGAGTCCTTGAGGCCACTTGGAGGTTTACCGGTGTCCTCAGGGTCACCTGAGTGGTGCAAATGGGTGTGGAGTCTTCTTGGCTGCAGGATGTTTTCTGCCCTGTCTCCCTTCACTGTCCAAGACAGGCACCAGCTGTTGGGGATGAGTCTGTGCTGTCTGCATCTCAAACTGAAGGACAAATGGTTCCCGTAGTCTGCAATGTTTCCTGGAAATCTGTTCATACTCCAGCACCATTTGAAGGGGGTTCATCCCAAAGTCCATAGCTAAATGTCTATGGCAGTGTTTCTCAACCTTGACCATTTTAAGGCATGTGGACTTCAACTCCCAGAATTCCACAGCCAGCATTGCTGGCTGTGGAATTCTGGGAGTTGAAGTCCACATGCCTTAAAATGGTCAAGGTTGAGAAACACTGGTCTATGGGGATTCTCAGTCTTCCAGATCACGGCTGTCCCAAAGGTGCTTTTTCAAGAGGCAATTGGACTTTCTTGTTTTTCTTTGAAGTTGTTTCGCTTCTCATCCAAGAAGCTTCCTCAGCTCTGACCAGATGGTGGAAAACAGAAGGATTTATATTCCTTGCAGACAGCTGGTCATTTGCTCTCTTTTAGAGCAGGGGTGTCAAACTCACATCAGCATTGCGCTTGCCCTTGGGGGGGTGGGTGGGGGTGCAGCCTACTGAGTGGGTGTGGCCCACTGGGTGGGCGTGGCCAGCTCTACATCATTCAAGGGTGCCCGTGGGGGCCTGGGCAGGAGTGGGACAGATCTGAGGGTCTCTGGCAGAAGGGGGTGGGACCAGGGCAGAGCCCATCAAGCCGGATAGGTGAAGTAGGCGAGAGCCATTTGCTGGCCACTTCCAAGCAATGGTGCATTTCTTCATTCCTCACAAAGGGTGACACCTCCCCAACATGCAGCCAGGGGGCAGGACCAGCACGGCAGGGGCTGGTTCCTCGCTGTTTCCAGACAGCCTTGTGGAGCTAAGACTGAATGCATTTCAGCATAGATGGCTACCACAAAAATTGTACATTGGTTCCCGGGCAGCCTGGGCCAGGGCCAAGGCAGCGGGGGCCGTTCCTTCACTGTTTCCAGGACGGCTTCACGGGCCGCATGAAACCACTTTGTGGGCCGCATCTGGCCCCTGGGCCTTGTGTTTGACATATCTGTTTTAGAGAAAGTACCCCAGATAAACCTCCAGGTAGCCTCAATGACTCTCCAAAAGAATGCAACTGAGCAGCTGTCTGCAAGGAGTATAAATCCTTCCCTTTCCCACCAGCCAGTTAGAGCTGAAGAAGCTTCTGGGATGAGAAGGGAAACGTCTTCAAAGAGAAACAAGAAAGTCCAGTTGCCAGCACCTTTGGGACACCCTTCCAGATCTATCATGCAATTATTCTGCCTGCCCTTAGAGACCCCTGTCTTCTTGCAAGCACTAAATATTAGCAACATGGGCGAATTCCAAAAAGGGCAGAAATACTCCCTTCCCAAAAGGCTTTAGGAAACAAAAAATAATAATAATAATGGCGAAATTGCTCAATCAACCCCTCGCTGGGAAGCAGCTTCAGCTGAGGAAAGAAAGCCAGCTGGGCCGGCGGGCTCACGCAACGCCGCAAAGGGAAAACCGCAACATTTTGTTGCAGCGACCCATCCCGGCTGCAAATTTTCCCGCCAAAGCGCGAAGGCGTCGTTTGCCCAAACAGGCAAAGGGGGCAGGAGGAAGAGGGGGCGGAGTTCCGCGCTCCGGAGCAAACCATCGCCAAGCTGCTCATGGGGGAGTCCCGTTCTGAAAATAGGCGCAGTAAAGCCGCCCCGTGGCCCTTCCTACCTCAGGGCGGGAACTTGGGAGCGCAGAGAAATTCATCTACGAGCGGCGGCTGGGTGTGTCGTCTCAGCGCTGTGAAAGGGAAAAGTGGAGACAAAAAAGCCTCCTCTCTACGAACCCCCCTCCTTCGAGGTGGTAGCGCCCGCTTCGGTTGGCGCGCGTTGCGCCTCAGCCCCGACGCGCCTCAGTTGCGAGGTTGGCGGCGGCGGGGAAGCGTCGTCGGAGTCGCCTCGCCCTCAGGATGTCGTTTCGCCAGCGGAGCCCCCTGGCCGGCCGGACTCGTAGCAGGTAGTGGCCGAGAGGGTCGCCGCGCGGAGCCGTGGACGGCTGGGCTGCCTCGGAACGGCTCTAGGCCGCCCCCCGTCCGGCTGCGGAGCCGCGGAGGCCTTTGTGGGCCAAATAAGACGCCTCAGCTCAGCCCGGGATTGGCGGGGAGGGCCTGGGCGAGCCCCATGTCGAGCCCCTCCCCCACCTCGATCCCCTGGGTAATTGGGGTGGGGTCGCCCCTTCCTCACAGGGTGGTTGTTCATTGGGGTCTCGGATGAGGGGCGTCCCCGGGTCTTGCGGACCCCTGGATGCCACCGCCTGCTTTAAATTCACCTAGAAACCCTGGGTGTTTGGGTGCGTGTGTGTACCCGCAGACACGTGTATACACAGACACCTGGGTAAATATGGACCTGTCAGACGAGGTCAAAAAAAAAACCCCAGGCGGATCTGCTGATTTGTCGTCCCAAAAAAGAGGAAGGCAGAGGCTGAGGGGGGGGGGGACGAAGAAAAAGGCAGAGCTCGGGCAGTTCTTGGGGAAGAAAAGCTTTTAATTTGATTTATTTGTTTTACTTATTTCTTAAAGCTGCCTGGCTCTGGGTAGTTCATAAAAACGCGGGTTTATCAGGAAGTAGGAAGAGTTTATAAGGGACAGGAAGTAGCCTTTCTTCCGGGTGGGAGGAGGAAGTGCTGACTATGCAAACTCTTCGGCCTCCCAACATCCAGAGTGGCTTTTCTTCCCCTTTCCAGAGACTTGATTGCAGGAAGTCCCCGACTTAAGGTCACTTGTTTAGCGACGGTTTGAAGTTACGACTGCACTGAAAGAGCCAGTGGGGAAAGCTGGATTCACGTAATCATCACGTGATTCACTTCGCGACGGTGACAGAATCGGAGACGAACGCGGGATGACTCGCTTGAAAACCGTCTCACTTAGTGACCGACATTGTTCTCAATTTGCAGTTTTTAAGTCAGGGACCAGCTGTAGCAGGAGGGAGCTTTGCCTCGCCCCTCTCCTTATACCGCACTCAAGAGCTAGGGACAATTCAAAATGGACAGTTCCCCAGGCCAAGTTGACCCATGTTTTTTCTAAAACTTTGCTTCCGAAGTAAGTTTCAGTTATAGACCAATGATTTGCAACTTCTTTTCATTGACTTTGTTCTTTTTAATTGTCTCTTCCCAGACCAACAGCTTCGTGGAGTCAAGGCAGGAAGCGTGATGCAGATGGGAAGCACAGAAATGCGCATGAACCGAGCGGCCCAACCATTGATTACGATACATACAGCCTGGCCGATGGCAGATCAGAGAGGTAGGTACAGAGAAATATTTCCTCACTTTTAAGCACAGTTGAGTTCTATTTAAGGCGTGGTGGACATAAAATGTTTAATTCCTGGTGATATTTTAGCAATCTACTTAATAAAATATATATATATATACATTGCTTACTGGTGTACACCGCTTAGAGAGTGCTTGCACTTAAAGCAGTATATAAGTCTCATAAATAAATAAGTCTCATAAATAAATATTTTTAAGTAGCATACTCGTATCACAAGCAGATGATAATAAACATTGTTCTGCAGAGAGCAACTTAAAAGCACCACGTGTTACATGAGAGTTCAGCAATACATTGTGGATGGTGTAGTTTAACTTGCAACACAGTTGAGATGGGGCACGCTATAGTGTGTACTTTAAATATTGTGACTAAGCTGCCATTTTGTTTTCCCTGTGACTTGGTTTTACAGTTTCACCACCCCGGAGGGCCACAAGCCCCGTTCAAGATGTTCAGACTGGGGGAGTGCAGTTGAAGAAGATGAAATGAGGACTAACGTCAACAGAGAAATGGCAAGGTACTGATATGCAATTTGTTTAAATTCAATTTGTCTTAAGTACAAAAATAAATCTTTATTCTTTGAGATAGGGAGATCTAGTAAGGTAGAGAAAGTATTGCCCCTTTTCATAGGATGTACACTTTTGCATTCAAAATTGAAAACAATTTCATGTTGTAAGACTAAATTGGAGAATGTGCTATAAAAAAGCTAATTCTTGTGGATAAATCCAGTAGGTCAGGAGAATGTGACTAAGAGTGTTAACAAATGTAACAAATCTTAACATGTGGGAATATTGTTCAGTGTTGAATTTATTAAATAATAAAATACCAACAATGGTGTAGCAGAACACTATTGTAGCAGTACAAACACTGGAAATAATTTTTGTTAAAACAAATGTTTTACAGATACAAAAGAAAGCTTCTAATAAATGAGTTTGGAAGAGAAAGGAAGACCTCTACAGGAAGGTAAAAAAAAAAATTGTTCATAGCAGATCTAACCAGGGACAATCTTGAATTGGAGGCTGATGAGAATGAATAATTGAAGCGTGGTTATATTAAAAGTGAGCGGGAATGAGAAGGTTTTAGGGAAATGAAAAGGCGAGGCATTTCCCACAATAAGGGCAGACTAGCACTAAAAGCATGCCTCGTGTCTTGAGAATGCAAAGCCATGAAACGGGAATAAATGAAAAATAAAACCGCTATTTTTCCAGTTCGGATTCCAAGGAATCTACAGCAGTCGTGGAGCTGGAGACGGACGAGGCTGTTCTAATGAGGAGACAAAAACAAATAAATTATGGGAAGAATACTCTGGCATATGACAGATATATTCAAGAAGTTCCTAGGTAAGCCCTCTGTTTACTCATAGGGTGGAAATTCTTTTCAGTACAAATTTAATTTGTAAGTATTGGGGCAAACTTAAGGAAAAGAAAATGAATTTTTCCTCCCAAGAGGTACCTATACTTTTTTTTTTTTACTCTCATAAACCAGTGGAATCCTTTATAGCATAGGTGTCAAACTCGTCACGTGGCGTGTTGCAACGTATCGTGACTTTTTTTGCATTGCCAGAGCTGGGGTGGGCGTAGTCCCCGTATGATACCACCGGCCCACGGGCCGGCTGTTTGACACCCCTGCTTTATAGCATAGATGAGCCGGCACCATGGATCAGATGCAAAAATTATACTTCTAAGAAAGAAACACCTCCTTGCTTTTGATGGGGGGGAGCAAAAGGCAAAATGATAAAGTGAGAGATCAGAAAAACGTCCCCTGGAAAGTTTGGCCATGATGTCATACTGATTTCTGGCTCACCTACTTGTAGTAAGTTGCTCCTATAATTTCTAATTTCGCTAATGGCTACATGGAAGGCTGTAGCAGAATATTCTGAGAGCTTGAACTACCCTTTCTGATGTCAGAATTTGCACTCAATTACTCTGTGTAAATAAATAAAACAAATAGAAACCGCAGACGGCTATTGCTGGGAGAGAGGGTAGCAGAGACTCATTGGAAGATGAGCAGCCCTATTTCTGAGCAACCTTGCAAGTAGACGGCTGGTTTTATTTCCCTGGACAACATATTTATCGAGAAATGGCTGCTGGGCTAAGCTGCTGAAGGTTGATGGGTGTGCTAAAAGTGGCCGAAATGTTTCTTTCAAAGGTGTCTACGGGTTCCTGGGGTCCATCCAAGGACTCCAAATAAATTTAAAAAGTACAGTCGGAGATCTTGGGATCAACAGATCAGACTGTGGAAAGTCGCGTTGCATTTTTGGGACCCTCCTCACGAAGAAGGCTCTGATGCGCAAGTACTGTAAGTAGCAGCCGTGTCCAAGAATGCATAAAATAGTAAGCCTTTAAATATTGAGGGTTGTTCTAATTCGGGAATCATTCAGCGGTAGTAAATCCCTGAAATGAACCAGGTTTGTTTCTTACGAAGGAAAGTTTAAGCTTAAAAGCTGTATTAATTCATCATTGTGGAATTGAGTTGAATTCGATAGCCGTAGTACAGGTAGGCCTCGCTTAATGACTGTCTGGTTTGCCAATCATTCAAAGTTGCAACAGTGCTGAAAAAGTAATTTTATGACCGTTCCTTCCATCTTGTCCCCCTGGGTGTGTGATCTGGGCCCTTGGGGCACATTTAGGATTGTTGCAGCATCACAAGGTCACGGGACTGCTGTTTGTACACTTTTTGATAAGCAGAGTCAATGGAGGAACTGGCAGGGAATGGGCAATTCGTGGTCACGTGATTTCTCACTTAATGACGGCAGGTGATTTGTTTAACAGCCACATCGGAGACGAGGCGTTAAGTCCACTGTGGTCATGTGGTGCTTTGCTTAATGGCCACATTGCTTAGCAAGATTGCTGTTAGTCTCAATTGTGGTTGTTAAGTGAGAACTGCATGTAGTTTTCTACAAAATATATGCAGCTATAATGCTAAGCATATTGATATAATGATTACTTTTCCTTGTAGCGAATTACTTGTTGCTTATATATTTTTTTACTTGTTAAAAAACAATTTAACATGTATGGTGTACTAGCAGGTTATGAGAATTGTGTGCCAACTCCAGAATGTAGTTGGTGCAATAGAACACATGCATTTATTTTAAAACAGAATCATTTTTCTGAAGGATTTGTTTATGCTGCAATCTATTTGTCTAAATACCAATGGATCTTTACATAAATAAAAATATATGAGCCTCATCAATTAAACAAGTTGCTGGAATACTTTTCTGAATTATTTAAATGTAATACTAGAAATCATTGGAAAATAGGTGTGATTTATACCTTCAATTCCCATTTGCCTAACTTTTCCTGCAAATGTTTAGGTCATTGGGTAAACTAGAAGGCAGGTTTTATATCTAATATTCTCTCCTTTATCTTAACATTAGAAATGTGTTTTCTAATATTGCTAATTTCATGTTTTATTTTTGTAGTAGCCCTGTTGATCTTGGTGACATGGAAACAGAATCCGTAGGAAGTAATTCCTTGGTGCTACAGGGAAGTTCCCAAGAAAACAATGTAAGTAATTTGAATCTTGGCTTAAGTTTCAATATTGCGTCAGCGTCCATAGATTGCTGGTTGTGTGGTGTCGGTAGGAACAGCCTATCCCTGGCCAGTCCAAAGTAGTTTTTTTCACTCTCTTTTCCCCTCTACTATCTGCCTCTTTCCTCATCCTAATTTAATTTTCTCTCTTTTTGCTTCATTTCCCAATCGTCTTGCACGTTGTCTTTTTTTTTCTTCCCTCGCTTTATGTTTTCTGCCATTAGTACAATCGCTGCTTTAATTAAGTGGGACTCAACCAAGCGGACCTCTGTTGTGGAAGCTGTACTGCATGTGCTACAGTGACACCCCTTCAACCATTGGAATAATCTTGACTAATGAATGTCATTGTAGCTGTCATAGCAAATTTTAAAATATTTTTGCTGAACTCCAGAATAAAGCTGTAGAGCCAGAAGCCCTAAGTTTTTGGTGGGAAATGATCAGGAAAAAAAAGGTTATAACCCCTGAGCGAATGGAGGCTGGAATTAATAGGATAATGAATGAGTCCGTGATGTGTATAGGAAAATCAGGTTTGAGTGTGCAGGCACAGGGATCTGATTGTGTTTGTCACGTACAGTTTTATCGAGAATAATTGTGATATAATAATGTTGGCAGGGACCTTGGAGGTCATCTAGTCCAACCCCCTGTTCAGGCAGGAAATCCTACACCATTTTGGACAAATGGCTGTCCAGTCTCTTAAAAGCCTCCAGTGTTGGAGCATTCACCGCTTCTGGAGGAGATTGTTCCACTGGTTAATTGTTCTCACTGTCAGGAAGTTTCTCCTTAGTTCTAGGTTGCTATCTTGAGGGTAGATTATTCACTGCAGGTAGTCCTTGAGTTATGACTGCAATTGAGCCTGGCAATTATGGTTGTAGGTTGGGACAGTTGTAAAACAGGTCACCCTGTGACCAGACCTGATTTTACCTTTACCTTTTCTGCGCTGGTTGTTAAGCAATCGGCAGGGTTGTTAAATAGACTCATTTGCTATGGGTTGGTTTTTACTGGAACACCGGGGTAAGCTGGCTTCTGGCAAAACTATGAATCATGGTCATGTGGCTGCACGGTGCTTCAAATAGCCATAAATGTAAGCCAGTTGCCAAGCACCCAAAATGCGATAACATGACTACTGTGTGTCTGGCGGGGGTAGATGTCAGAACTCTGAAACCTGGCGGCAAGTCCCATTTGGGGGTTTCCATTGTCAATTTGAATGGTCCTAACTTGAGGACTGCCTGTGCTTCTGAGTATTGAGAACTATGTTATCAAATCTTCATTTCTCCGGGATGGTGTAAGGGCTCCTACCACGGGCTGGGAGTTGGACTAGAAGACCTCCAGAGTCCCAGCCTCAGGATTCTGTGCTTTTTGATGTAAAGCCCAGTAAATACAGCATATTTCTTAAGTAAAATTAACAAATAAAGTTACAAACTTCCTGGTATGTTAATTTGGTCACCTTTTATTCTAGGAGAATTGTACAGACACCAACCAAAATGAGAAGTATTGAGCATCGATCTGTTGACTAGGTTCAGCTAGAGACACCTTCTGGTATGGAGCTGATGTCACCAGTAGAATTGTGCGTCCTGCAGGGTCCATTTTGAGGAAGGGGCAACTCCAGCAGATTCACACAGAAATAAGAAATGTTCCTGCATTACCCTCTAGAGCTGTGGCAGCTTTAAGATGAAGATCCGTTTCTCTGACCTTTTTTTTGAAAGCAAAAAAATGGAATCGTACGTAATTGGGTAAATGCCTAATTTATATACCTGCATATGAAAAAGATGGCTTTCCTGAGCAATTGAATTATAGTTAAGAAAAACCAGAACGGGCAATGTTGCCACAGTTTAGCAGTTTTAAAACATGAAACTTTAGTAAGAAAATAGTTTTAGCACTTGTTTAGTGACCTTTAACCATGACACAAGTATTGGCAAGAAGAGGTGGTTCTGCACCCTGCCCATGTAATTGTTACAATCTGAGAATGTATGCTTTTCAAATTATTTCATTCAGCATTACCAAACAATTGGCAATAATCTTTCCCAGGATATGCAGGCATCTTGGAGAAATAACCGTCCTCTTTCGGGTGGCGTAACCTCACCAAGTTTTAAACTGATAACTTGTAAATAGTTTTCTGCGGGGCTGTGTGAACTTTTAAGGAAGCCTGAATGAAGGGTGCCTGGGGATGTTATTTTTATTCATGCTTAATATAATTTTTTTTTTACTACTGTTGCTGTTTTTGTATGGAATAAAATATAAATAAAGCAAGACCGTCTTTGTATAACATGAAAGGACATGCAGAGAAAGATTCAAACCAGCTGTTCACACTAGCTGTACCGGTGATTGGATATATTTTAATTCTTTAAAAAGTTGTTTTGAAATGGCAGCTGTGCTCACATGGTTTGGGTTATTCCACTGAATTTAATCAGATGGGTTCATTTCTGAGTGAAAATATAAATGAGATTGGATTGCAAAATGGACACCTTTGGTGTAAAGTTTTTGAGATATCTGACTCCAATTACATCTTGCTTTGGGATCTACAGACCCCAAAACAACTTTTAAGTCTATCCCTGCAAGACTGAACGGCACGCATTCAACTTGGAAATGGATTTTACTTTCCCAGAACTAATGGAGTAGACGTGGCTGGTCTTGGGACCGCAAAAAATTCCTTTTCCTGGTCATTGTTGGCCTGTTTTGCTACAGTTGAACAATTACTGATTGGATTTCTGCTTTCTGAAGTCGATCGTCCATTCACCCTTCAAGAAAACGCCCATTGATTATGTGGAGCACAGAGCATTTGTGCTTAAAAGCATCATTGCTCTTAAATAAACAGGCACACCAGAAATGGCATGGGAAATACCAGTGTTTAATTGTGTTAAATTGCATGTGCTTTTTTGATACCACCTCAGGAGACGGTATCTTTTCATAGGCCTTGGTGACAAATGCCAGCTAAAAACGCTTACGCACGTGCCCAGTCTCATTTTGGTCGCACAGAATTAATTTATAAGAAGTGGGGCGGTCATTTAAAGGGCTCTTTTGTAAGATTTCTTAGTTCAGAGCTAATGTGGATCAAAGTCTCCTGCTTGTCTGCCCTGTAATTTTTGTAAATGCTATGTAGCTGTTCGACTAGAAGCCTCTGTCTCGTATTTTCAACCACTCTTACCTTTTGACCTGAATTATACAAAAAGTTTAATTGAGACGACACCAGCAAAATATCCCAGAGAAAATTGAAAAACAACCTCAAACCACAATCACCTTTTCTTTAGCCATACTTTATCTTCGTTTCTCATGTTATGTGACTCCCTGGGCTTAATTCATGTTTTGCTAATGGCCTAAAGCTCAGCTCAGTGGTTCTCTATATATACCTACTTGGGGTGTGTGTGTGTTTGTGTGTGCCTTTTTTCCTTATTGCTTTCTACATGTTTGAATCGTTTCACCTTGTGATTGACTGCAGGGTCAGTTAACTGAAATAAAATCCTTTTTTCTGAAACACACTGAAACAACAGAGATAGGTGATCACTGGCCATTTGATCCCCACTATTGAAACAAGGTGTTTGAAAAAAATAAATTTCCCAGTGCTGTTCCTTCGTCCACAACGGCTGGCATTGTGGAGGTGGAGGTACAGGTAGTATGGACATACAAATACAATTGAGGCCACAATTTCCGTTGCTAAGCTAAGCAAGACAATTGTTAAAATGAGCTTTGGCCCATTTTATGACCTTTCCTGCCACAGTTAAGTGGATCGCCGCAGTTGAATTAGTCATGAGTTAAGTGAATATGCTTCACCACTGACTTCGCTTGTTAGAAGGTTGAAAGGTTATAATGGGATCCTGGGACACTGCGACCGTCAAATCCATGCCAGTTTTGATCATGTGATCATTATTTTTGATCATTAAAAACAGTCATAAGTCACTTTTTTTCAGAGCCCCTAGTTCAGGGGTAGGCAATCTTGGTCCTTTTATGACTTGTGGACTTCAACTCCCAGAATTCCTGAGCCAGCATGGCTGGCTCAGGAATTCTGGGAGTTGAAGTCCACAAATCATAAAAGCCAAGGTTGCCTACCTCTGCCCTAGTTGAAGCTCTGTTTCACAATCTGCGTGTTTTATGCATTAGCTGATCTGGGATCAAGTATCTGTAAGGGCACATTGCAAAAATGGTTCCTATAAAACAGTGGTTCTCAACCTGTGGGTCGGGACCCCATTTGGGGTCGAACGACCATTTCACGGTCGCCAAACAACGCAGTCCGCCATTCTCCCCTCCTTTTCCTTTGCTGTGCTACTCCCTTTTATTCTATTAGCTTTTGAAAGCCAATAGAATAGACTCTCTTGAATAGAGTCTAATTCTATTGGCCTTCAAAACCCAATAGGAATTGTCCCGGCTGTCTCTGCCCTGCTGAGCCCGCCAAAAGTCCCATTCTGCAAATGGTGCTGCACCAGTTGAGTAGTCCTCGACTTACGACCGGTTGAGTCGTCCTCGACTTACGACCGGTTGGGGGGTCGCAGCATTAAAAAGGTTGAGAACCACTGCTATAAAAGCTAATGAAATTGGTTTATGCTGTTGAGGTTAAGTCCGTAGTACAAAATACTCCCTGCTCCTTCCATTTTTATCTGGACATGCAAAGCGAGTTGGAACAAGATAGAGCAGTGATGGATGAGTGGACGGTCCCTTTGCCAACTTTATCATTCCTTCTTGTCAGTTAAGGAAATGATTTTCAGAATTTGAAAGCTGTGAAAAAATGCAAAATGATAATAATAATAATAGAAAAGACTAGGACAGGGGTTCTCAACCTTGGCAACTTTAAGACTTGTGGACTTCAACTCCCAGAATTCCTCAGCCAGCTTGCTGGCTGAGGAATTCTGGGAGTTAAAGTCCACAAGTCTTAAAGTTGCCAAGGTTGAGAACCCCTGGGCTAGGAGGAAGAAAAAAGTTGGGTCCCACCTTTCCAATGTTATCTGACTTTTAGCCTTACCCCAAGTGACAGGAAAAGGAGAGTCTAAAGTAGTCCTTTTTGCAGCCTTTCTCTAAGAAACAAAGATGGCAGCAGAGTCTCTCTTTCAGCATGTGAGAATGTCCACATAACATACAGCAGAGAGAGCAAGAACTTACAGTAGGGCCAAAACATTCATCTTTGCAGGGTGCAAACAAATAGGTGCGATCTTTATATCCACCACTAGATGGCACCAGTGTTCCAGAAATTCAACTTTGTGATCTACCCTTTGCCTAGCATCTGGCACTCAAGTTTCACATGTGAAATCAAGGTTTCCTTGCGTATTTTCTCCTTTTTTCCCCCTGAACAATATACATAGATAGCGGAAAGTATGCCTAGTCTAGTGAACAGAAGGATTAGGAGTGATAATATTCAAGAAATTGAGGGGCTGTCACACAGAAGAGGGGGTCAACTTATTCTTCAAAGCACCCGAGCGCAGGATAAGACCATCCTAAGGGATGGAAACTTATCAAAGAGAGATCCAGAAGAAAGATTAGATTAGATAACCCTGATAGTCATTTTTTCCTGTGGGCACAACGGCACAGGAAATGAAATTTAGTTGCTTGCTCTCAAAGTGTACACATAACACACATTTAAAACATACTATAGACAACATATGTATAGACCTACACCCTTACATATAAGTAACATATAAATATTAATCACGGACAGGAGAGTGATTAAAGAGAACTTTACTGCAGGCCACTTTAGCTGACTGTGTTCAGCAGGTCAGCGGTTCAAATCTCACCGGCTCAAGGTTGACTCAGCCTTCCATCCTTCCGGGGTAGGTAAAATGAGGACCCAGATTGTTGGGGGCAATGTAAATATATATATATATATATACATACATTGCTTACTGGTGTACACCGCTTAGAGAGTGCTTGCACTTAAAGCGGTATATAAGTCTCATAAATAAATAAATAAACTTTCCTGACAGTGGATATTTGAAACAATGACAATATAAAGAGCACATGATTTTTAAAGCAAAGACATGAGTGTCTCTTTTTATTGCGTAACGGAGAGCTCAGATGGGGGTGACTTTGTAATAGAGCCATGAACATTTTGGGGGTGTCTTAGCATGGGCTAAGAGACCTGATTTTCTAAATTTGCTCTAACCGAACTGAGACTGTAAGTAACACAACAAGCTTGCGTTGCTTTCAAGGCAATATTTAGAAAGAAATATTACATTTAAAAGATCTCGATATCAGGCTGAATTATGCTCCTAAAATATGGACTTAGCCGTTTCACCAGCGGCTTTGGTTCTGCTGACCTGGCATGTGGCAAAGAGGATAATCCAGCTTCTTGAAATTTAGGAAATGGATCTTCTAGGTCAGTGTTTCCCAAACTTGACAATTTTAAGGCATGAGGACTTCAACTCCCAGAATTCCACAGCCAGCGTTGCTGGCTGTGGAATTCTGGGAGTTGAAGTCCTCATGCCTTAAAATTGTCAAGTTTGGGAAACACTGTTCTAGGTTAAGACTTCGTTCTTGCACTTCTGGATTGATACCACCAGATGGTATCAAAGATCATTAAAAACATATATATCCACCTCCTGGTTCCAGCTATTTTAGTTCCTCTCTCTTCCCTAGATTTCTTACAGAACTTGAAGTCTTTGGAAACAAGCCTTACAGGTAAAATCTAACCAAACCTTGTTGCAAGCTGTTGGTGAGGTTTATTTACTAGAAAGAGGGCAGAGAAGAGCAACCAAGATGATTAGGGGGCTGGAGGCTGAAACCTATGAAGAAGGGAATTGGGTACCGCCAGTCTAGAATAGAATAAGTTGGAAGGGACCTTGGAGGTCATCTAGTCCACCCCCACCCACCCAAGCAGGAGACCCTGTATCATTTCTGACAATTGGCAGTCCAGTTTTTTCTTTAAAGCTTCCAGTGATGAAGCACCCACAACATCTGAAGGCAACTTCTGTTCCATTGGTTGCTTGTTTTCACTATCGGAAGATGTATCCTTATCTGTAGGTTGAACCTCTCCTTGATCAGTTTTCATCCGTTATTCCTTGTCTGGCCTTCAGGTGCTTTGGAAAATAGGTTGAATATTGGAAGGCTGCTATCATGTCTTCCCTGGTCCTTCTCTCCACCATACCCAGTTCTTGCAACCGTTCTTTGTATGTTTTAGCCTCCAGTCCCCTGATCATCTTTGTCGCTCTTCTCTGCACTTTTTATTTTTAAGGAGCATCTTTTTTTATAGTATGGTGACCAAAACTGGTTGCAGTTTTCTAGGCGTGGTCTAGTGAAAAGAAGGACTGGGGGAGACATGATAGCAGTCT